TACTTGGATGCCGACTAGCCGGCTGTCCTCACACTCGCTGATCCACCACTGGTTACTGCATCTTCCTCGGCGACAATCTCATCTCCTGGTCCACCAAGCGTCAGCAAACCACGTCACGATCGAGCGCTGAGGCGGAGTACAGGGCCATAGCGAATGCAGTAGCTGAAGTCAGTTGGGTGCGTAACTTACTTCAGGAACTCCAACAACCTCTCAGTCGTTCCACCTTGGTGTTCTGTGATAATGCAGTGCCGTCTATCTTTCTGCCAATCGTGTCAAACACCAGTGCACAAAACACATTGAGGTATACACTTTGTTCGAGACAAGGTAGCTCTCGGACAAATATGAGTTCTTCATGTCCCATCTTCGTTGTAGTACGCAGATATCTTTACAAAGGGTCTCCCAACCATGATCTTCACAGAGTTTCGTGATAGCTTGGGAATCCAAAAGTCATTACCAGTGCCGTTGGGAGTATGTTAAATATAGTCTTTCTATATTTAATATATTATATTGTGTATATATTATTGTACCTTGTATATTCTAGTTACCATTTGTGTATAGGTTACCTTAATTATATTTACTAACATAACTAGGACTCCTAGTATATACTCCCTCCGTCCCACTGTCTTTGTCCACTTACCTTTTGGCACACCATCCAATGCATTTCTTTAATCCATTTTATCTTGTAATTTGTATATTAAAAAATTATAGAAATTATATGTTAATAATCTATATGTTAAGACAAATCAAACAAGATCACACATGACTATATTTAGGCTTAGACATTGAGAGAATTTGATGAGTCAAAGTGCTTAGATGAACAGTTCCAAAAGTCAAAAGTGGACAAAAACAGTGGGACGGAGGTAGTATATAATATCTTGTAATATACACATTATCATTATTGGAAATTATTCAGGGGCTGTTTGGCAACTTCTGAATAGGTAAGTGCTGAACTAGTAAGAGGTCTGAACCATTAAGTGCTGAACCAGTAAAAGGTCTGAACCATTAAGAGCTAGTATATTGCTTAACTATTCAGAGTCAAATGTCTGATCAATTCAGATAAGAGGTCTTAACCATTCAGACTTTGTATAATACTTAACCATTCAGAGGCAAATGTCTGAACCATTCAGACATTTGAACCATTAAGAGGCTGAAACAAACAGTCTGAATCATTAAGTGATGAACCATTCAGACATCTGAACCATTAAGAGGATGAAACAAACAGCCCCTCAATCTTTCAGTTCTCCTAGCAGCTGGGGAGGATCTTGGGCATGCAATAAGGAGGTTGCATAGTTAATGTGAGGAAGTTCCCAATATGCTTTTTAAATGATATGTAGAATGTGTAGTTTTTAAATGATATGCATGTTGCTGTTCCCCGTAATGAATATGTGGTGAAGACACTAATTAATCATTCACATGCGTTACTTACTAACCGGAAATGAGGGCCATGTTTGATGATGGACTATAAATTCTCATTCCTCACCCACAGGCTGTTGTGATATGTCGGTTGAAGTTCTGCCCATAATTCAATTTTTAGAAATTAATTTATCTAAAAATTACTCCCTGTTTAAATTCAAAATTTTACCAAATGAGTAATTGCCCGTAGGTTAAAAATTTCATTTTAGCAAATAGTCATAAAAAATGTGCGGGAAACGAAAAATAATACCCATGCAGAGAAAACTCTATATAAATTGGTAAGGTGAACAATATTAGCAAACCTTCTTTTGCTCTCTCCATTTCGAAAAGATAAAAATACAAAGGAGTATCTTTTTTGTTTGTCTTAAATTAATTTTCATATTTATTTAGTTTTATAGTAAAGAATTTGTGACTAAATGACTTATAACTTTTCTTTTTTTATAAAATTAAACTTGGCCTACACTTTTTTTAATTTTTGAATATTTTTCTTGAAGTTTTTTTTTGAGATGGAGATAACATCAGGGAAGGGTATACACTACATTTCACATAAATTGAAGGTGAACTATTTTCGTCAATAATAGCTCTTCATATATATCACCAAAAAGTTTAAAAACAATATGATTAAAGTATTTTCTTATGTTGTCATAATCGCAACAATGTCGCCTCAAACTTGTGCACATCTAGTGTTCGAGCTTCATCCATACGCTGAAGAAGTTGAAATTTAGGGGTGTTCATAAGGTCAAACCCAGACAGGACCGGGACCGAATAAGAGACGTGCCAGGGACCGGATTGGACAGGGACCGGACCGAATAAATGTGATTTTTTTATTCCTTTTTAAATTTGATTTTATTTATTTAACTTAAAGTATTTAATTGCATAAAAATATTACTACAATTAATTATTGTTTTTAATTTTTTTAAAAACTTAAAAAAAAATATATATCCTCCATCCGTATAACATAAAATTTGTTCGTAATTTTTATTTTACATAAGAAATTTTCTTCTTCTTACTGCATTTTTACTTTTTTGTAATTTTTTTTGTGTTTTCAGTTTATTTTGGCAAACGGATACAGTTTTTACTATTTTTTATCATGAGATTGTTTACAATGTTTATTTTTGTTGATTAGAGTTTTATTATTGATAAAGTACAAACTTAAGTTATAGTATTGATACATAAATTAGAAATGCATTAGATCACTAATATAAAGGTAATGTTTACTTTTTTTCACACTTTCATATTAAAAATATTTAAATATAATTAGAATTGATATCTTATTTTGAATTGGAATATATTAAAAAAATTATCAAACAATAAAATCAAAACATTTGAAAAACTTTTATTATTAAAGTTAAATTAATTTTAATTATAAGAAAAAAACTTTAAAAACTATATTATAAAACTTCATAGAAACACTATTTTTTTAAAAAAAAATAAAATGTAACCAGTCCACCAATTCGGACCGAAACCCGGTGGACTAGACCGGACCGGATTGAAACTCGAATAAGGAAAAAGTGAGGACCGAAGACCGGACCGAATAAGGACTTGTCCGGGTCCAGACCGGTTTTGGCCAGGTTTTGGGTTAGTTCGAGTCCGTACCGAATAATGGACACCCCTATTGAAATTAGTTTGAACAGTGCTACAATGATAGATTATAGAATATAGATATGAGAGTTACCAAAGAAAACACTTTCTTATATGCTCCACTAATTTTATTTTTATAGTTTTGTACTCCATATACTAATATTACTCCGTCAAGAAAGTTAAAAAAATTACGATTTAAGATGGATAGGTGAATTTATTTTTAATTTAACATGTTTTGAAATAGATCTTGGAATAAAAAAATATGATGTGTATTTACAATTGCATAAAAAAAGTTCAAAACATAAGGGACATGAAACATGACTATATGTGTTGGTCAAATTATCAATGACTATATATATATACTCCCCCNGAATTTATTGATGAAATTGACAGACATCTTAGACATCTTAACCACAATTATCGCAAAAATATAACCTGTTCTTTAGAGCTTAAATTCTTAACTTCCAGTTTCTTCCAATTCTTCCTGCTTCTTCTAGTTTTTTCCAGTTTCTTCCAGTTCCTTCCAGTGTCTTCCACCATGCAGCTTTTTTTACAGTCCTAAAGAACAGGATGTTCATCAATTATAATATAGGTTTAATTAAATTGAATTCACTTTAATATACTCCCTTCTTGCCTAAAAATCTTTCCTCTTCTGACATTATATTTTTTAGTCAAATAGTGTCACTCTTTGACCATAAGTTAAACATAGTGTTAATAAATAAATGAAATAAAACTTTGATTCCCTCTATTCCTAAAAACCTTTTCTGTTTTGACTTTTTTAGTCAAACAGTGACACACTTTGACCACAAATTGTGAGGAATATTTATTTAATTATAATATAAATTCAATATAATTGGGTTCATCTTAGGATATAGTTTTGATATATCAAATTTTATATTATTTATTTATTAAGATTATGTTTAATTTATAGTTAAAAAGTGTTACTGTTTGCCTAAAAAACTCAGAACAGGAAAAGTTTTTAGGACTGGAAGAAGTATCAAATTTCAATAACATTTATTAATGGTCAAAGTATGTATCAGATTGACTAAAATAGTCAAACTGTAAATGTCTTCTTGAGACCAATGAAGTATGTAAAAATAAAACAAACAAAACAAACCATGAAAATTTTAAAATGAAAAAAATAAAAGTTGTGACTTGAATATTTTTAGATCATGTTAGAGATATTTCAATTTGTATCACAATCTGTACATCAAAGATAAACACAAACATATAAGTGTGTTTATATTTGCTAACTTAAGGTACAAATTGAGACTCCTGACCATTTTATACTTCCTCCGTCCCTAAATAGATTACAATTTTTTTCTCTCTTCTCTCGATAACTTTTGTTTGTTTACGCGATTTCATTAAATATTTGATAAAATAAAATATTCTTACCACTTCTTGTTTTGTAGAACTTTTGACGTAGTTTTTTAATATGTAATTTTTACATCTTATTGATATACCAATTTGTAAATAAAATGATTTCAAAAAGTAAGAAATTTTACTCTGTAACCCGCAATTTGTAATCAAATTGGGGACGCGGGAGTATTTTCAAATGCATACCTTCTTTAAAGTGTTTGTCAATTGTCATCATCAATTAGTGCCTACAAAAATGATGAAAGCAATCATTTGCTGATACGAGTATGAATCATGATAATGTTAGATTGTCCAACTTTGCTATGATTTTCTTCCATACATGGACGTCGTCATCATAGACACGCTCTTGTCTTTCACATTAGAGCAATGCTACGTGTACATCTTTGGTGTACCCTAAATATACACTACCCTCTCCTCTACCATCCATTTTTATTTTATTTTAATTTTTTTTTTTTGAATTTTGATACGCGTACGGCGGACACAGTGGAGGATAATCATACTAGGTCGGGACGACCCCGAAGACACGTACGGGCACCCCGGCGCTACGACGACTATGTTTAGTATTTTATTTTTATTTATTATTTATGTAACGTAGATTTTATTAGGAGAGCGAATTATAAGCTCCTTCAAAAGTTTTCTTTTCGGTTCTTTCCCTTGACGCCTTTCTTGAACCGACAGGTTAGAGTAGTTGTAGGGTTTGGGGAGTTTGTTGTTTAAATACGACGCATGAGGCACCGTAGGAAGGCATGAAATAATATTCCCAAATTTTCTCCCTAATCCTCTCTTCCTCACCTAAAACCCTAAACCTTCTGCCTTTCCCCTTCTTCTCGGCTGCCGAACCCAAGCAAAACCCTGGGCAGTGTCTTCCCTGCTTTGAAGTTTTGATACATCCTGTATCAACTGGTGCTCTCGTTCTCGATCTCATGGCCGCTTCGTCGGAACCCTCGGCGGTCACCTTGGCCGATATCATGCAAGCCATAACCACCTTAAGTACGGATTTGCAGGCTACCAAGCTCCGGGTTGCAGAGATTGCGGCAGATAAACCTCACGGAGTTGACACTCGCAGGCCCACCCTCGTTCCACCCCAGGCAGGTTGGCGTCCACCACCATCCCGTACAACACCACCTACCTTCGACCCGGCGCCGAGGATGCGCGTCGATGCTCCACGATTCTCGGGGGATGATCGTACTGGCTGGATTTTTCGAGTGCAAAAATACTTCGATTATTTCTTGACACCGGAGCCCAAGAGGTTACAGCTGGTGGCGATGTTGATTGATCATCCAGCTTCCGAATGGTTCCATTATTATCAAGCGAATAATCTGAAAGCTACTTGGCAAGAGTTTTTGGAAGGGGTGCATCAACGCTTTGATCCCGATTATTATGAGAATTACGTCGGCCTGTTATCGAAACTTACACAGACATCAACCGTCATGGAATATCAATCGGCCTTCGAAACTATCCTCAATAAAGTGTCCGGGGTTCCCGACGCCACGTTGATTGCGATGTATGTTGCCGGGCTAAAACAGCCGTTGCGCAGGGAGGTGAATCTCCGCTGCCCAGCAACCCTTCAAGCCACGTTTGCCTTGGCTAGAGAACTCTCCGCATGCCTCCAAGAAGCGGCTGTTTCGTATGGCACGATGGGCCGTCGCCCCTGGCAGCCACGTCCCGCTTCTGTTCCGCCAACGGGCCTTCTTCCCACACCAGGGACCACAGCAAAGTCAGACTCGTCATCACCGCGCCCCGCAATCAAAACTCCTAACTTACCGGTTGTTCGACTAACACACGCCGAGAAGACAGAACGGAGTAAGAAAGGCTTGTGTTGGTATTGTGATGAAAAGTGGACTTCAACCCACAATTGCAAGCACCGTTTTCTCGTTCTTATGGGACCAGACGACGACGATGAAGAATCAGACACGGGGGACAATCCGGAATTGGTCGCTGACGGGCCGTTGATCTCGGCAGATATCTCAAGCATCAATTCCTTGGCGGGCAGCCCGAGCCCTCGTTCCTTGCGGTTGGCCGGTATGATCAAAGACGGCGTTGTTCAAGTCCTTCTCGATGGGGGTAGTACGCATAACTTCATCCACCCGGCAGTGGCTGAACGTTTGGCCTTACCATTGCAACCGGTCTCCCCATTTCGTGTTTATGTGGGTAATGGGGACTCCCTACGTTGTACTTACTCCTGTCCGCAGACACCGCTGTCCGTGCAGGGCCATTGTTTCGAAGTGGATTTGTATCTCTTAGCCATTCATGGGCCAGATGTTGTTTTGGGTGTTCAGTGGTTGCAAACGTTGGGCAAAGTGGCTCACGATTACTCCCAAATGACAATGGAATTCGCTTGGAAGGGTGGTACAGTGACTTTACGGGGAGATCTACCACACCTGCGTCCTTTGACGTACAGCCAGTTCTGCACGCTTGTGGCTTCATCGGATGCGCAGGATTTTTATGAGCTCTTACTGGCCGATTCAGAGATTCCAGTTGCACCCCCCACACGCACCTCGGAACTCGTTATTCCGGCAGAGGTGCCCGAACCTGTCCGGGCAGTGTTGGTAGCCCAATCAGCGGTTTTTGGCCTTCCACAGGGGCTGCCGCCGTCTCGATGTTGGGATCATCGCATTCATCTAGCTCCGGGTACCAAACCAATTAATGTTCGACCCTATCGGTATCCTTATTTCCAGAAAACAGAGATTGAGCGACAAGTGAGGGAGATGCTTGACCAAGGCCTGGTTCGCCCAAGTCATAGCCCTTTCTCTTCGCCGGTTTTATTGGTCAGAAAGAAAGACGGCACCTACCGCTTCTGCATTGACTACAGGGCCCTTAACAAAGCTACGGTTCCGGACCATTTTCCAATTCCCACCACCGATGAACTGTTTGACGAGTTGGGTCAGGCACGAATCTTTACCAAATTGGACCTACGTTCCGGATACCATCAAGTTCGGATGCACGACGCAGATACGTTTAAGACCACTTTTCGAACTCACGATGGGCACTATGAGTTTTTAGTGATGCCATTCGGCCTTACCAACGCTCCATCCACCTTCCAAAGTGCAATGAACGCCATCTTCAGGGATTACCTACGCAAGTTTGTTATCGTCTTTTTCGATGATATTTTGGTATCCAGCACCTCCGTCGACATGCATGTCGAACATCTCCAGACGGTTCTTTGCATCCTCCATAGTCACTCTTTTTACATCAACTTTAGCAAATGCTCCTTTGGGTGTGCAAGTATTGGATACTTGGGGCATGTGATCACAGCCGGGGAATTGAAACCCGACCCCGACAAGATCTCGGCCATGGTGGCTTGGCCAACTCCCACATCCGTGCGCCAGTTACGGGGGTTCCTCGGCCTTACCGGGTACTATCGCAGGTTTATTGCGGGTTACGCCTCCATCGCGGCACCCTTAACAGATTTGCTCAAGAAAGACAGCTTCTCCTGGACCTCCTTGGCAGAGGACGCCTTCCAGAGCCTAAAGTCGGCAATGACCACTGCCCCGGTCCTCCGCCTGCCAGACTTTGCACAACCATTTTCTTTAGAAACGGACGCGTCCTCCTTCGGGATTGGAGCCGTCCTCATGCAAAACGGACACCCCTTGGCATTTTTTAGTAAGAAGTTGGGAGTCAAACGCCGGGCGGCATCCACTTATCATAAGGAGTTATACGCAATCGTCGAAGCAATTCAAAAATGGCGTCAGTATCTCTTGGGCCGGGAATTTATTATTCGAACGGATCAACGGAGTTTGAAGGAATTGGTGTCTCAAGTGGTGCAAACTCCCGATCAACAATTTTATGTACGGAAGCTTATGGGGTTTAAATTTCGGATAGAATACAAAAAGGGGTCCACCAATAAAGCAGCGGATGCCTTGTCCCGCCAAGATGATAACGACGACGCGGCTGACCTCTTTATGGCACTGGTGCAGCCCATGCCACATCTGCTTCGAGACCTACGTGTGGAGAATCAACAATTAGCCGAGCTCCGGGACATCCACGCGGCTGTTACAGAGGGCACAGCAGCTTCAGATTTCTCGGTCCAGGATGGGCTGCTGTACTTCAAAAGACGACTGTATATAGGCCGCTCGTCCTCCCTGCGCACGCTGTTACTGGAAGAGTACCACTCCACTCCGGCCGCAGGTCATCAAGGAGTAGAGGGCGGTGTCTTCCCTGCTTTGAAGTTTTGATACATCCTGTATCAAATTTCTTGCCTTTTTTTGTGAACAAGGAGGGGGTGGGAGATAAATGGGGTACACATTTGGTGTACCCTTAGCATTTTTCTTCACATTAATCCCTCCGACATTAATTTTAAATGCACATAAACTTCCTCAAAAAAAACAAAGCACTTCATAATCTGGAATTAGTAATTACGACTAAGCAAAAAAATCAAATTAGCTTGTTAGCATATCATATCTTAATGGTACTTGTTTCAAATTTTTAAACAAGTTTTCTTTCCATGTGAAACTACACTTAAATCGATTTAAAACGGACAGAACCAGAATACAAAACCTTATAACCGATTGTCATGGATCTAATAAACGAACTCATTAACTAAAAAATAATTATTTCTTTAAATGTGGACTACCTGTCCTTTATTCTTTTCATTTATGATCTTTTAAATTTGTATGCATTTTATTTTTGAACCAAGTTATGCTCTTTTTCATATAGAGTTGTGCTTTCATTTCTGGTCACCCTTCACTAGACGACGTGCCTATCTCCTCTCGACCAACATCCTCGCATTGCCCAGGCAACCAACCTAGGGGACGACCTTCATGCTTGAAGCCCACTGAAGGTTGTGCACACGATGGCCCTTCACGATCAAAATATGAGCACCCTCAGGCCTATGTCCATTACAGTTCAGGTTCATGTATAGAGCACAAAGGATGAACACTCTAGGACAAATGTATGAGAAGATCAGATGCTTTGAAAACCATCAAGACATGTGAGGACAAAAGGATCATATTAGACGTTATACGACAAGGTGATGTTCAATCACAATATGTGTTTCTCGTACCGTAGTCTATACAAGGGTTCCTCCCTCCTATAAGTACTCTTATTTTCCTCCATTGTAATATGTAACATGGTCAACCAAGCCCGAGCAATAGTAGTATTTCACTCGTGTAGTTGCTCTTTCACTCTACTCTTACTCATTACTTAATTATTATCTCTTCAACCAGGCTAATTTCTATTTTTCACGCATCGTAGTTGCTACAAAAATCCATAACCGACAACAATCACAACGACAGTGCCATGGAGGTAGCTTCTCACGCTAGTAACTAAAGATGCCACCTAAATGAGAACAAGACTAGGTGTCACACCCGACTAGTTCTAACCGGCTATTGTTGTCATCTCAGCTTTAGTGAGAGAAGCATGCATGCATAAACGCTCATGCACCCCAACCCACTGTGGAACCCCGACACACCATCGCGGAAGGTGATGAGGTCACTTCCCGTAGGAAGGTGACATAAATGAACAACGAGAAAATGTCCCCCCAAGGCTCTCTTAGATAAAAATAAATCAAGCTGGAGACCATGGAAGAAAAAGAAGTGTCCATCAATTGTTTGGTCTCAACCTTTAAAACACTCAACAGTCAAGGCACCAAGAAGAAATGGGTGTCATATTTCGGGTGGTTGGAAGGGCTCGATGCCAACCTAGCCGATTAACTTTTGTGCACATCTCAAGGCACCAAGAAGGAACGTGTGTCATCCTTTGAGTGGTTCGGAGGACTTGGTGTCAGCCTAGTTGATTAACTTTCGTGTGCGTTTTAGGGGAATGATTAGGCTGTCTTAGGCAATCACAAGCTTGAAAGCTCAGCCCCAAAAATGAAAGGGCAAAAAAATACTTGTCCAATCCTTATGGAGAGGAAATAGAAAGTCTTGAGTGATGGATGGCTGAGTTTTGATACATGGTGTGAAATAACATGAAGTGCAGCGGAAATCACTAATTGAAATAAGCTATGCAAACAAATTAATCAAATTAGCTATCAAGAGGATGTTGTAGCATCGTCACAGTAATAGATGACAAATAGATCGAGTGTTATAACACCTTCTCCGTCCCAAGCAGACAAATTAAAGAATCAAATGATGAAGAGGGTGTTACAACACTTACTCGATAGAATACTGTAAGTATAAAAATGTAAAAGAGAGCACGAGATATGTTTACGCAGTTCTAAGAACCCCTCCTACTATACAAGTCCATTTTCGTGTAATAGCCCTTCACTAAATCACTAGATGCAAGTTTATGGAGTATATAACAACATGATGAGACACACTTCTCCGAATTTTTATGACAAAACTTCTAATCTAGGATTTCTAACTCGTACCATGTACAAATCCGCTTTGGCCATGATCACAAAGGTAAACGTGTTGGTAGCCTCTCCTTAAGCCCAGATATGATTCATCTTGTGGATGTTAAGTTCTCTTTGGCATTGAAGATCCCCTTCATCTAGATCATAACTTTCTTCACGTAAGGGATGAGAAGCTCCAGGATGCGTCGGGACGCTCTTAGATTAGCAGATATTCTATGTTTTCCCCTCATAATCGCTCCAAGAAATCCATGGGATCAACTGCGTACATATTGGTCTCTTCAAACTCTAATCCTAGTAGAATTAGGCAATTAGAAGTTGTCTTGAATATAACTTCTTTACTCTTTTTCTCCAAGAAATTGGATTAGGACTCCTTAACACAGTTGGCCACTAAAGGATAAATTCCAAGGGGTAATTGCAACTCCCAATGGGATTCTAATTCCAAATATTGCAGATCGGAGCTTGAATCCTCGGACATGCCTTGCTGATCCCGTCATAGTGTGTTGTAGCATCTTATGTGTCACCTTTGAAAAAGTAGCAACTCTAAAAACAAAAATAAAAAACTTCTCCTAACAAATAGAGGTTTCTACGTGCTAATTAAACTCCCAACAAATATGATAGGCGCAAAGGGACACTAGGGTAGCAGGTGCTCCACACAATCACCCCCTTCATACCCCACCACAGAAGTTCTAATCCCTGCAGATCAAGGCATGTAATGGGATGACGAACTCGCAAAGCCACTTGTATTGTTTCCACGCCACGATGGTTGACCATGCTCGACACTTCCTAAGAGATAATCTATAGGTGCTTCCTCAACACACTAGAAGGTCAAGCATATGAATAATGGTTCAATAAACTTCCTGAGGGTTCCATATAGAACTAAGACAACCTCACTAAGAGGTTCTTAAAGCACTTTGAGGGAAGTCGTCATCAGAAGCTCCCTAACTCTGACAATCAAGTCTCACCTCCCTAGCTTGAAGATTCTAACAAGGGAAAGGCTCAAGAACTTTTTTCCAAGTGAGAAAATAAAATCAACGTTCCTAGGGAGGATATTTAAGCCCTCATCATCACACTTCAGGCAGCCTTCCCACAGGGCAACCTCTGAAAGGAATCCACTGACAAGCTAGCCAGAGGATGCCGGCTATAACAAAAAGGCCCTTGATCCTTTTGGGGAGGTTTTCCTCAAGGAGGAGAAAAAAGAGATTTCACCATGAGCAAGCCCCAAGGCCACTAGGTGAGGTGACCAATACTAAAAGAATCTCTTGATTAATACAGTCCACGACTTGGCCCTCTCTCCTTGAGGAAATGAAAAGAGTAGTTTAGGACATATGTGAGGGGAAAGTTGAAAGAAAATTTAAGGATGAGCAAAGTAAAAGGAATGAATAATCGTCTACAATTCAATTACTTATGTGAGAATGCGCTCTATCCTCCCAACACCGAATTGCTCATGTAAGAAAGGTGATGATTCATTAGGTGAAAAAAACTATGTATAAGCCAAACTTTATACCCCAATTTGCATATAAGTGTATCACAAACACACACAAACAAGTACTCTTTGTACATGCACAGACAATGATTATCTATATGTCTATGATACACTAATAATATACTCCCTCCGTCCCTAAATAAACTTTCCCTTTCGTTTTTTCTTTGTCCCCAAATAAACTTCTTTTTTCCCTGAAAAAACCTCTTTTATCCCTTACTTTTTCATACCCTACCTATCACATCATACTTTTTTACTAATAATCTACATATCACATCTTACTTTTACACATCACATCAAGGATATTTTTAAAAAGTCAACACAAAAATATCCCTTCCTTAAATCCTCAAAAAGTCAAAAAGGGAAGTTTATTTAGGGACGGAGGGAGTACAAATTAGGGTACAAAGTTTGGAGTAGCTCTAACACACCTCCTCATCATTAGGTACACCAAAATGCAATCCATGTTTGGAAAGATGAGGTGGGGATTGGGGAATATGTAGGTTAGTTTTGAGGCAATAAAAACATGTTTGGAAAAACAAAATCATCCGCAGTAGGAGAGCGGAAACGACGAAAAAAAATTAGAATGGAGTGGCGGTTGCATGTAGTTAATTTCATGTATCTATCATGACGGACTAAATTTGGTTGTTCTTTTCTATTTGTCTTTTCCCATGAAACTTACTCATACTACTCGTAGATATTTTCCCATGTTCTAAATTTCTTAAACTAATGATTCCTCTTTGTACCAGAAAAAATACTAATAATTTCTCCACAAGAATATTTTTGTTGAAGAACAAAAGAGCATTATTAAAACAGTTTCACAAGATTACAAATAGGGACTTCTGATTGTACCGCGACATTCCCCGTGCCCACTTGGGTGCCCATCCTTTTGGCATCTCCAACCAGCCCATGAGTCTCAATATTCATTTTACTAGAAATTCTTTTAATTAAAGGAAATGTTTGATTTATTTGTTTGATTTATTATTTTTCACATTAAAAAAAATTTATATTCTCGTGTTTCAAAAATCTTACTCCCTAATTATTTTTTTCTTGTCTATATAAAAAAATACTCCTTCCGTCCCTCATAGATCTTCTCAATAGCCCTTTTTCTTTGTCCACAATAGATCTTCTCATTTCATTTTTTAACAATTAAAATACCACAACTACCCACACTTACTTTATTTATTACACCTCACCCACCTCATTTAATGCACTCCACCCATTTTCATTAAAGGTATTATGGTAAACTTTCACCTTTTTTCAACTCTCCTAAAAAACCACCAAAAGTCAAAATGAGAACATCTTAGGGGGACGGAGGGAGTACACTTCAAACTTTCTCCATTTTCTCCTTTACGAAAATCAATATGGGTCACAATATTTAACTCTTCTAAACAATTCTCACAAACTTACTTTTCATTTTATACACTTTTGTTAAACAATAATACGTACAAATCAAGCAAAGAAGCTTTTGTGGGACAAATGAAGTACTCCGTATATATAAGCAAAAAAAGAAATAAGGCAAATCCAACAGCACAAAACATGTGCAAGTGGAAATTAAGTTCTGATGTTGGCAAATGATGACATGATAGAAATTGGAGCCAAAAGAAAGAGTTTTTAACATAAGCTCTTTTCACAATAATTCCAGTGTTTTGGAAAATGTTATCTAATGGCAGCATTTAACTTTAACGCTTTCAAAATTAATCTACACCATTTAAAAAATATCCAAAACACTAAGACTAATTAAAAATTAAAAGATTACTGCTAGGTACCATCAATGTGTGATAAGAACTCTCAGGTCCCATTACTTTTAAAAATATATTCTCGGGTACCTTAAAATATATGAAAATTAAACTAACTCCGAAGGAACTTTCCGTCCATCCCTCGGTGATATTCATTTGTGCCGTTATCTTTTCATCATCTTCCTCAAAAAATTATTGTTAAGTACTCCCAATTTTGTAGAAAGAACATCTAAGTCCCATTTTTTTTTAAATATACTTCGGGGTACCCTAAAATCTCCAAAAACTTACTCTGGATTGACTTTCCTTTTTTCCTTCTTTTATTATTACTATTAATGTTATTATTATTGTTATTACTATTATTATTATGATTATTTTTATTATTGTTATTATTTTTAATATTACAATTATTATTATGATTATTATTATCATTACTATTATTACTCAATTCATCATAGTCTTCCACAGTTATCACCGGGTTGTCACTAGCCATAGGCACCTGTTGCTTATTGGGTCATGCTGAATTGTCACCGCACGCATCCTCTTATTATTATTTTTTTTGAAGGCCTCTTATTATTATTATTATTATTATTATTATTATTATTATTATTAAAAGAAAGAAAAAAAGGAAAGTCTCTTCGGAGTAAATTTTTTGATATTTTAAGGTACACGAAGTACATTTTAAGATCTTTTTGTAGGGAGAAGGTTAGGGGGTAGGAAGCATCAATTTTTTCATTTAGAGCACCGGGGAGCTCCAAATGACTGAGTGTACGTCATCCGTTGACACTGGAATCCAGTGCCAACGGAACCTTGTCGTTTTTAAAAGCTAGGACCTGGAGGTTCTTTCTACAAAATTGAAGGTACCTAACAACAATTTTTGGAAAGAAGATCGTGAAAAGATAACGGCGCAAATGAATATGACGGAGGGATGGACGGAAAGTCCCTCCGGAAGTAGTTTTCGGATATTAAAACAACGGGACCTGGGAGTTCTTATCTCAAACCGAGGGTACCCAGTAGCAAATTTTTGAATTAGAAATATTGTTACCCACAAGGCCAGAGGCAAACATCTTTTCAGTTTTTCAGAGCATCCATCCATCAAAAGAACAAAGCAAATCACCAAAACACGGTTCTTGTATAGTTGTGGTAAGAAGACACCAAGGTGACAAGCAGAAAGTAAATCCTTCTATATGGGTATATGGACTAATAACAAGGATCTCAAAGTAATTGAATGGACCTAAAGGCTCACTAGTCTTGATCAAATAGAGCCTAACAATTAAGTGATACTAAGTGTTACTCAGAGTTCATACATAACACAGGTAGTTAAAGATTTGAACTAGAGGATGAACATATGGTCTATCATCAATCTACTCTGATAGGGAACACATAATTTAGAAGCACTATACGAGACAGGTAAGAGGGGTGCAGATCTATCTGACAATGGTACACTGACGTTTCATGGACAGGTGGGAGGGTCATCACATCTCACCACGGCTGCCCTTTTCCACCGATTCGCCGAGCCAACTCAAAATCTTTTTTCACTGAACAACAAAAAAGAAAAAAGAAAGTGAAATGTGTTGAACTCTCCATGTCTATAACAATCCGTAGTGTATTGAAACATTCATCCTAAGTAGGTTCTTGAAAATAATGTTAAATTTGATATACGAATCATCAATCCCAATGAATAACTGATGTGATATACTTAACATAGAGCAATATATGTGCACTCCTAGGAAACCCCAGCAAGAATCTCAAAAACATTTAAGAGGCATGGAGATGTTCATCTACCGAAAGTGCTTATTTTCAAACTTGCATTTTAATTTTTTCCTTGTTTTACTCTGGGAAAGTAGGGACATTTATTTTTTATTTTTAAACATCACCTATGAGAATATGATTTTATAAATTCGATCAGCGAAAATTGTAGTAAGATTGGGGAGTGGAGAGTAAGACGTACTGAGCGTAACACGTTTTGCATGAATTGCACAAAGCATTGCTTCTCCAAACAAGACAACCAAATAATCTTCCGCAGCCTGCATAATCAAAATCCAGCATCCAAATGTGTCAAGTCATGATAGAACCTTATCCACTGATGCACAAAAACAAGGTAATCATCATTAAAAAAAGGAGTTGTAAACTGTGATACCTCCTGAAGAGCTACTAGAGCTTCAGCTTGCCAGCGAGTTACCTCTGGTGCATAAGCATTGCTAATTTCTTTAACCTGCCATAGTAATTATACAGAACTCCAATTCAAAGAAATGTAAACCTATGACCCTTGAGGGTAAAAATCCACTCAAATACGATAACCAAAGTCATAAATAATTACAAGAGTCCTATGATGTTATCATTTGTTTGTGCAGATACTTAGAAACTCATATTTAGCACCCTGTGAGGCTATGTGTGTTGCAAATCTTCTAAGTGGCATTTAGCATATGAACAAACGGATCATGCTAATAGGCAAACATACTAAAAGATTTCATTGTTTTTTCTTCATGAGTAAAAAACTGATATAGTCATGAATAAGATATTGGACAGGATTTTGATTATGTTCTGGATGTCTAATTGAAACCTGATTTGTGCTACGGTAGAGAAACACAATACAACATAACAATACAGTATGTCACGCTTTCAAATAAACTTGCAGACAGGATTGGATTTGAAGTACATGAATCACCACATATAAGTGCTAATTGGTCAGATAAGCAGTATATTGCATTTCACCAAAGTTACTTTGATCAACAGAACACTCTTAGAAGTTGCAAAGGCATTAACAACTAAATGGGCAATGAACAGTACATCTAACGTATGATGTCGCTATGTTCAGACTTTGCTTCACTTCTAGAAAAAGAGCTACCCAAGAACACACTCTTCTTGACTTTGTTCAAATCTCAGGTGGTAAGCAAATGTTCTGAGATTAATAGTAATGATCGAGATACAACGCACTCACTCCATCACTCCCAGAATGTATTGTGGAGATGATGAGCATTTAAAAGGGACATTGCTTTTATCCATCACATTCATTAATAGAAAGAAAACCCACACATTGTCAATGCAGCTACAATATGCTCTAAAGATTGTTCCTACCATTCAATATATTATCGACATGATAGTCATTAATAGATCCCTCTAGTTACCCATTCAGGATATCATCTTATTCAATATACATTATACAAACGATTATACAACCCAAGCCATATTATTTCTGAGCATATCTGAAGTATAAAATATGGCAGTGCTCAAAGGGAAAACGAGGCCTGAATTACTGGAACTTACAAGCCTAATGAAAGGGGCGGCGGGAATTAGAAGGTCCGTGGACTTCTGAAAATGCCGAATTTCACGCAAAGCCACAGCCCCTGGCTTGAAGCGGTGAGGCTTGCGCTTCTTAGTCCCACCATGAGGAGGTCGGGAATTGGAATCTGGCAAAAGAAACTCACCATCATTCAAACATTTAATCTCACTGCCCAAAAAACAGAAATATATGAAATCAAAGATAAAATTGTAGCGATTCTGAAAATGACACAAAGTAATGCTGATAACAAAAAAAACAAACAAGTCCGTTTGTGCTTACTTTCCGGCTGCTCAGCCCTTGAATTTGTTCTGGTCGGCGTCCCCTAAATCCAGGAAACCAAAAAACAAAAAATTATTCTTCGGGGCTATAAACGCACACACACAAAGATGCACCGTACAGAAATCATATCGGGAGTACCCTAGAAGACGAAGGAGAAGCTCCGGAAACTGAAATCGAAGAAGACTGGAAAAATTAGGGTTCCGAAATTCAGATAACTGTTTATGTAAAACAATAATAAAAGCATTACAAAAAGAAGCTCTTATGAAAAAAGCAAGATACCGGAAGTATCTGGAAGCTTTCGCTTCCGCACGGATTTCTGTTTCTTTCTCACCATGGATTGTCTGAGCGGGGAAGAAAAACGCAGTGTTGTGTTTGAGTACGGATTTTGGAAAGGAGAACTTCTTCCCTCTCAAACGGATTTTTAAATATGTATGAACATACAACGGCAATAAATTTTTTTCTTCAAATAGGGAAGAATTTACTTCAACAAATTTTAACTCGAAAATATTACTCCAAATTCCAAACGATGAATGTTTTGTGGTAAGAACTTCGTCCTTAATTTCTGGGTTTCAAACTTTAAATTATTCGGATAAGAAATAAAGGCAAATTATCTTGTACGGAGTAACTTCTAATTCTTGGATTCACACTCATTTTATTAATTTTCAGACATAAAATGATTTTGATCTTGTTTGGAAACAGAATTGATTAATGTTAGCATTTTAGATAAAATTTTAATAGTGTAAATTAATTCTTAAAATACTAACACTAAATGCTACCACCACATAGCCTTTTCAAAACGCTAAGTTAATCTCCAATGTTGATGTCAAATGGGACCTTTATGTAATTGGTCTTATAATTTTAAAAAGATACAACTATGAGCTCATAAAAGTTACTCCTTCGTCTCAATTTAAACTGTCTTTTTATTATTCACATGATCAAACTTTATAAAGTCACCCTAAATAGGACTAAAACATATAGAAAAGTACCAAAATAGGACTTTCATATTTTTTCTCCAATATAGGACTTTGCATTGTAATAATGTGGCACTGTACATATGCATATTTTTTGGTAATATACATGACTATGATTGGTAATGTAAGTCCTATTTTAAGAATAAAAACATGAAAGACTTATTTTGGTATATATTCAATGTTTTAGTCCTACTTTTGTCTTTCTCTCCAAACTTTCATCATCTTCTTTACTTATTTTTGTTAGTCGTTTGTTAAAAGAATAAGGTCTTATTATCTCTTATTTTGTAGAACTTTTTATGTGGTTTTTAAATATATAAATTTTATTTTTAATTCTTCCCCAATTGCATAGAAATTCATTTAATAATATTCCAATCAAACACCGTACGTAAACAACAACATGCAACTTATAATGAAACGGAGGGAGTACGTGAGAACGTTTACAATTTACATAGTATGACTTTAGAATCACTATAGCACAATTCTTGAATAAATGAAGGTGACCATTAAGAAAAAGAAAGAATAAATGAATGTGGTGTGATAATTTAGCCTTTTTTAGAAGGGTTGTTACGGTCTGTTCTATTTAACTTACTTTTTCAATTTATTATTTCTTGTTATAAAAAGTAAATCAGATCAGATTAGATCATGCATGTTCAGATCAAATCAAATTATATGACAGCAGATCTCATGAGATCATATTACATTAGAACCAATCGGATAAAATTTTTCTAGATTAAATTAATTAAGTCTAGAAAATATTGAAAAATAATACTAATAATTTTTCTATAATAATACAATAATTAGTGTTCGACTAATTTGTGTTACATTCTATAGTATTGCATATAATTTAAAAATAATTAATATTATAATGTTATTTTCGTAACCTATTTGATAAAATAATATAGTAATGTCAAATCTAGTTTTGTAGATCTTTTATGTAGTTTTTTAATATGTAATTTTTATTTTTTTTAATTCCATGTTGTTTTTATATGGAATGGTTTGAAAAAACTTCAGTCAAACAACGTAACGCGTAAAAAAAACTTTATTTACGGACAGAGACAGTATATATATATATATATACACACACACACACACACACACACACACACATATATATATATATATATATATAGCCACCATTCAGAAGCATGGGTGGCCCGGAGGGTGTGCAAAGTGGCCAACCGCACAGGGCTCCATAAAATTTAGGGCACCATATTTTGAAATTTGTTAATAATTTTAAAGCAAAAGTATTCTAAAAATATAAAATAAGGCACAAAATGTAAATTTTAGACCGGGCCAATTTTATATATTCATTTTTCGGGGCAGGCCCTAGTAAAATCAGAAGCAAAACCCTACGTCCCTACCCGAACTTGTGCTGCCTCTGCTCTTCTTCTCTTTGGATTCACAATCACCGTCCCTTACTGTGTAAGAGGCCTGTCATCATCGCCAAGGAGCCAGAACATAACCCATGATAGAGCTTCGTTGCTGGCCGGAGTAGCCTAGTCGTTGGCACCACTACATACCGTCGTGTAACAGTTTGAAAAGAGAAAATGGGGATTGAGGAGAGGAGTAGTACTGGTTCCTCCATGTCACCAGATGTGGAGAAGGATAAGCTGTTGTTGCAGGTATCAAGACGTGTTGAAGGAGGGTTCGAGTTTGGTGAATTTTTCTTCCTCGATTTCCGTACAGGTGAAGTGTCAGATTGCCCATATGTTTTATTTGCCGATAAGGGCTGGAATTCCATGGTGGCTCTGGGTTCAGTCATCTATGTTGTTGGCATCTGGGAACGTGATAAGACCAGGTGGTGCAACATTGAACCACCGAATTCTGTAACTAACAACAAAAAGGGCATCTATCACAAGGGCATGTCTTTTCTAGATTTGAGCCAAGGTGATGATGGTGAAAGGGGCCGGGTTGGAAGGAAGCCCCTTACGTGAGCTATCGTCTTCCCTATATACCTGCTGTGGTCGCATTTGGTGGTAAGATATATCTATTTCAATGGGGTGACAAGTCTGAGGCAGCTGAGGTTTTTGATCCCATCTCAAACAAGTGGGAGAAATTGCTTCCACCACCTCAGGTGGGTTTTTTCGACATCTACAAAGATCGGTGTGGGGTTGTCGACGATGAGAATAAACGGATCCTCATCCCCTTCCATAGCATCAAATCCGTGTTTGCCTACTACCCGTCGAACAATCGATGGGAACTTGTTCTCGAATCTTTCTCATGGCCTTCCGTACTCGTCTTTGCTCAAGGGATGATTCTTTTCTATCTGCCCCAAATTCCGAAGATGTTCGGCGCATACCATGTTGCCACCAAACAGTGGCTTAACGTTGTGCTTACTTCGGAGGTCCCGGACCATGTTTGGAGATGCGAGTTTGATGCTATGCTTTATTTAGGGAATGGGATCTTGTGCTTAGCTACTTACTCCATCGATTTTGATAAAGTCCGCACCACCTATGTCTATATCGCCATGTTTAAGTTCGAGCGTGCCAGTGACATTCCTGGTGATCTACTCGTCACGCCACTTCCTCCACAGACCTATACCCTTCCCACCCGTTGCTTTGGTGTCAAGTACTTCCCTGTCTAGGAACGGCCAAGGTTTGGAGTGTTCTTGGGAGTCATTTATCAGAATATTAATTTCTGCTTGCAACTGACAGCAGCATCGGACGATCTGAATTTAGAGTGTTCTTTTCAGAGATGGACATGCAGAAGTGGAGTATTTCGCAACTTATTTGCATCGTTATATATGTGTACTTGTTATGATTCTGATATACTCCCACAAAAAAGTTCCCATTTTGAATAATATTTTGTCAAATATTTACACGCTTTGACTACAAATTGTGAGAAGTATATATTGAATTATAAAATAAATTTAATATAATTGGATTCATCTTAGGATCTAGTTTTGATATCTCAAATTTTTTTAGCATTTCTTTATTTAGATTATTTTTAATTTATGGTCAAAGTGTGTAACTGTTTGACCAATTTATGGTCAAAATGAGAACTTTTTTGTGGGACGGATAGAGTATATATATAGCCATTTTCATTACCAAATAATAAATGCTAAATTATTATTATTTGTCTTACTTTGATTATATTGTATATAGTGTTAAAGAACGTATTACATATATTTTTATAAACTCATTTAAAAATATTACATTGAAGATAATTCACAAAATCAACAAAAAATTTGTTCGATTATGTGCGTGGCACATGGTGAATGGCAGTTTTTGTGCTTTGGAAATTGCGCAAAACCTTGACTCTCTTCACTAAATAAACAACATTTTCTTGCAAATTTTCTTTGAATGTGCGTATATTAGAATCTCTGATCTGAGCATGGAATCGATCGCCTTAACAAAAAATGGAAAATGTTTACATATAATTAAATTCAAAGTTTTTTAAAGATTTAGATGTAAAATATAAAATAATGAATTACTAACCTCTGAGTCGCGAAAAATAACATCCAATAAACACTTATCGCTCTTAGTTTCATCATCAATAGCACTGACTTTTCATCAACATTTTTAAAGCGGTTAAGATCCCCAATCCTCGTAGAAAAGGCGTATTGAAGGAGTGAATAAAAACACATGTTGAATTATCTTACTACGAAGGGTCTAGAGAGGACCGTATGTATAATATGTAATTATAAAAGGCTAATTATAGTAGTGAGGGTTTATTTTTTAAACGAATTGTTTTTTATTTTGAAAACGGAAAGTTTTTTGTTTTCAAGAAAGTTTTGAAAAGGCAAGTATATTTAAACGGTAAGAATATGTAATTCTTACCTTTTTGCCTTTATTTTTGAAACAAATTTTTGTTTTTCTTTCAAAACGAATTTCCACTATATTTTTATTTTTGAACAATTACTGTATTAATAGCCTTTATTGGCGTGTATTAATAGGCTTTTATTAATACCATGTAAACATCACAATTACCATATGTAATGACATAACATTTCTTGAAACGAAAATTGAAATTTTTTGAACAAAAATTTTAATTTTTTTATTTTTGAAACATATTTTTTTTCTTTCCAAAAAAATTTCCATTCTATTTTTATTTTTCAACATTTACCGAATTAATACCCTTATATTGGCGTGAAAAAAATTCGGTTGGACATTTACGTAATAAAATATTATTAGAATGGAAATTAATAGCTTTTTATTACTTACCATGTAAACTAAACAATGACCATATGTAATGGCATAACATCTCTTGAAACGGAAATTTAAAATTTTTAAAAGGATTTTTTTAATTTTTGAAACATAATTTTTTTCTTTCAAAATTTACGGTATTAATAGCTTTGTTTGGCGTGTATTAATAGCCTTTTATTACTTTCCATGTAAACACCACAAATACCATATGTAATGACATAACATCTCTTGAAACATAAATTGAAAATTTTTAAAAGAAGATTTTAATGTTTTTTTTGAAACAGATTTTTTTTCTTTCCAAACAAATTTCCATTTTATTTATATTTTTTCAACATTTACGGTATTAATACCCTTTCATTGGCGTGAAAAAAATTGGGTTGAGCATTTACGTAATAAAATATTATTAGCACGGAAATCAATAGCCTTTTATTACTTACCATGTAAACTAAACAATTACCATATGTAATGGCATAACATCTCTTGAAACGGAAATTTAAAAATTTTTAACGGATTTTTTTTATTATTTTTGAAACAGAATGTTTTTCTTTCCAAATTTACGGTATTAATAGCCCTGATTGGTGTGTATTAATAATCTTTTATTACTTTTCGTGTAAACATCACAATTACCATATTTAATGGCATAACATCTTTTGAAACGAAAATTTAAAATTTTTAAACGAAAATTTTAATATTCTTTTAAACAATTTTTTTTCTTTCCAACTACGGTATTAATACCATTTATTAATGAAATAAAATATTATTGGAACGGAAATTAATAGGTTTTTATTACTTACCATGTAAACTAAACATTAGGGCATAACATCTCTTGAAACGGAAATTGAAAATTTTTAAACGAAGATTTTATTGTTTTTTTTTAAACAGAATTTTTTTCTTTCCAAACAAATTTCCATTTTATTTATATTTTTCAATATTTACGGTACTAATACCCTTTCATTGGTGTGAAAAACAATTGGGTTGAGCATTTACGTAATAAAATATTATTAGCACGGAAATCTATAGCCTTTTATTACTTACCATATAAACTAAACAATTACCATATGTAATGGCATAACATCTCTTGAAACGGAAACTTAAAAATTTTTAACGGATTTTATTATTATTTTTGAAACAGAATGTTTTTCTTTCCAAATTTACGGTATTAATAGCCTTGATTGGTGTGTATTAATAGTCTTTTATTACTTTCCGTGTAAACATCACAATTACCATATTTAATGACATAACATCTCTTGAAACAGAAATTTAAAATTTTTAAACGAAAATTTTAATATTTTTTTAAACAATATTTTTTTTCTTTCCAAACAAATTTCCACTCTATTTATATTTTTCAACATTTGCGGAATTAATACCATTTATTAATGAAATAAAATATTATTGGAACGGAAATCAATAGGTTTTTATTACTTACCATGTAAACTAAACATTAGGGCATAACATCTCTTGAAACAGAAATTGAAAATTTTTAAACGAAGATTTTAATGTTTTTTTTAAACAGAAATTTTTTCTTTCCAAATAAATTTCCATTTTATTTATATTTTTCAACATTTACAGTATTAATACCCTTTCATTGGCGTGAAAAAAAATTGGGTTGAGCATTTACGTAATAAAATATTATTAGCACGGAAATCAATAGCCTTTTATTACTTACCATGTAAACTAAACAATTACCATATGTAATGGCATAACATCTCTTGAAACGGAAATTTAAAAATTTTTAACGGATTTTTTTTATTATTTTTGAAACAGAATGTTTTTCTTTCCAAATTTACGGTATTAATAGCCTTGATTGGTGTGTATTAATAATCTTTTATTACTTTTCGTGTAAACATCACAATAACCATATTTAATGACATAACATCTCTTGAAACAGAAATTTAAAATTTTTAAACGAAAATTTTAATATTTTTTTAAACAATATTTTTTTTCTTTCCAAACAAATTTCCACTCTATTTATATTTTTCAACATTTGCGGAATTAATACCATTTATTAATGAAATAAAATATTATTGGAACGGAAATCAATAGGTTTTTATTACTTACCATGTAAACTAAACATTAGGGCATAACATCTCTTGAAACGGAAATTGAAAATTTTTAAACGAAGATTTTAATGTTTTTTTTTGAAACAGAATTTTTTTCTTTCCAAACAAATTTCCATTTTATTTATATTTTTCAACATTTACGGTATTAATACCCTTTCATTGGCGTGAAAAAAAAATGGGTTGAGCATTTACGTAATAAAATATTATTAGCACGGAAATCAATAGCCTTTTATTACTTACCATGTAAACTAAACAATTACCATATGTAATGGCATAACATCTCTTGAAACGGAAATTTAAAATATTTTAACGGATTTTTTTAATTATTTTTGAAACAGAATGTTTTTCTTTCCAAATTTACGGTATTAATAGCCTTGATTGGTGTGTATTAATAGTCTTTTATTACTTTTCGTGTAAACATCACAATTACCATATTTAATGACATAACATCTCTTGAAACAGAAATTTAAAATTTTTAAACGAAAATTTTAATTTTTTTTAAACAATATTTTTTTTCTTTCCAAATAAATTTCCACTCTATTTATATTTCTCAACATTTACCGTATTAATACCATTTATTAATGAAATAAAATATTATTGGAACGAAAATTAATAGGTTTTTATTACATACCATGTAAACTAAACATTACCATATGTAATGGCCTAAAATATGGGCGGGACAAACCATTACCCCAATTCACCTCTTTTTAAATAAAGTATACTAGTATCACACCCGTGCGTTGCACGGGTCATATTTACATTACTAAATTAAGATCATTTTTGAATGACAAAAAATGATATCTAATAGAATATATAGATTTTATTATTTTAAGATACAAAAATATTTTATTTTCTAAGTTTTGAAAGACTTTTTTATAAATTACATTATTCATACAATTTGTGGAACTATTGTCTTCGTTGCATATCAGAACTTTCAAGCCAATGTGATGTGTTACTCTTGAAACTGCAACATAGAATTGTCTATGACTAAATACTGGTTTTTGTAACAATACTCTAACATGTTTTAGAGATTGCCCTTGAGATTATAAAATGTTGTAATTGACACTCGTTATAAGACATTAAAAACATTAATCGTTAGACTTAAATTTTTGTGTCAAATATTTTCAAATTTATATTGAAATAATATAATAAGAATACCATTGTATAAGTAGGTTTCACCATTTGCATCACCAGAATTGGAGGTTATGATTCCGCTTTGTTGAAATCATCGATCACCAAATCAATATGATATGCCAACAATGTACTATTTAACCAAATTCCCCTACATATTAAAATTTAAAAATAAAACATTAATGATTCACGAAGTAAGATTATTAATACATTTGAATGATACTTTATGGTTATATCTAATAAAATTTATACATAATTTATTCTTAGGAAAAAGTCATGAATATTTGAATATAATTTCTCACATACTTGTGGTCCTCAAATGTAACTTCCATCATTTGCTCAGGTGCTTATTTTACCATACGGGTTTCAGGTGGGTTTCGACCAACAACCTTCCCAATTACGTCTGCAAGTACCGAAATATAAGATAGGTGTAATAAATATACATTTTAAATATGTGTAAGTAATTTAATTATAATAATCTAAACGATGATTAGCAATTAAAAGCACTCTGTCACCAAGAGTCATTTTTTGAATTTCTCCAAATCCCATAAAGTTGTAAAGAAAATTGGAAAATCTGTTTTCTTAAATCTTTTGAAGCTTCGTCTTGCTAAAGAATCATAGCATGAAAGAGTAATTGGTAGTTTTCGTTGTTTGGTAATTGTGCAGTACTTTGACTATCATCAGTAAATAAACAGTATCGTCTTTCAAATCATCCTTGAAACAACGTATATTTGAATCTTTGATCTATGCATGTATTCGATCTACCTAATAATTCAAAGGAACAAGTATATATTATGATCATTAAAACATTGTTAATGTATACGTATTTTAAAGTCATATTAACGAAAAACTACCCTCTGAATCATGAAAAAATACATCCAATGATTCGGGGCCCTTAGAATAGGCGGGAACATGATAAACTTTTATTGCTCTCAGTTTTATTATCAAAATCGACGACCTCTCATCAATATGTTTTAAGCAATTAAGATCTCAATGTTTTGCTCGAAGGGCATAGTTGAAAACGTACTTCAAAGAGACTAATTACAAAAGCGATTGTGAATGACCGTATATATAGTATGAAAATTTTTGTTTCTTATTCTATTTTTGTGTTTCCTAATTTTTAATTTTCATAATTCATAAGTTTCGGAACAATCACAGCCCCTTAATAAATAGAAACTTTTTATTAAAAAAAATAATTTGACATTTTACCTTTTGGAAGCAAATTAACGTAGCATTAACTACCATATTCATAATTATGGTCTAGCATTACTATTAATATAATCCATACACACAGCATTACACACTTACCAAGTAAATTGAAAGTACTCGCGTTTGCATACTTAATATAAATGGAAACATAATTAAAATGGAAGCATAATATTAAATATATTAAATATATATTTTAATCATGGAAGTAAATTAAAATGGAAGCAAATTAAAGTAGCATAATTAAGTCAAATAAGCTATTTATTGACGTGTGCTATAATTAAGTCAAATAAGGTATTAATTAAAGATTCACATATTACCTTTTTTATTATACACGGTACAATTAATAATTATAATGTTTACTATTATTATTATTATTACTATTATTATTATTATTATTATTATTATTATTATTATTATTATTATTATTATTATTATTACTCCTTCCGTCCCAAAATATTCACAACATTTGCTTTTTCAGCAGTCACGTGAACTTTTGTTTATTTCTACGTTTTCATTGGTTATTTGATAAAATAAAATATTCTTGACACCTCTTATTTTGAAGAACTTTTCATGTAGTTTTTTGATATGTAATTTTTATTTTTTATTTCTTTACCAATATGTAAATAAAATGAATTGAAAAAACTTAATATTTTACCTCGGTAATAGAAATGTGACAAATAATTTGGGACGGAGGGAGTATTACACAAAACCATTTTTTACCATACACGCACGGCCGAAGTCAGGTATGCTAAATTGCACGGTATGATGTACAGAGTATATGATAAATTATCTTTGTTTCCTTTTATGTTACCCACGGTCAAAGTCAGGCATTTAAAATAGTTTTGCACACTAACCATTTAACCTTAACACCTACCATTTATATTGAAAACACATGGGCGGGAATTCCATGGTCAAGATTCAAGAATTCTCTTCTTTTTAAATAAAGGATATATATATATATATATATATATATATATATATATACATACATCGTAGGGTTGATTTTCACACATTTGTTCGTTATAAACGTAGTACTCATTCTGAAACAACCTAGTACTCATTCACAGTTTGCTCAGTGTGGTGTTCATTCTGAATTAAGGTGGTGCTCATTTTGGTGCATGTCATCTGACCGAAAGTGTCATCAGACTGGAGTCAATCCCATATATATATATATATATATATATATATATATATATATATATATATATATAGAGTTTGGTTCCGATGAGAAAAAAATCTAATGAAAGAAATAAGAATGGATCTGGAGCCTTGGATGGAGCAACTTTGACCGTTTTGTTTTTTTAGTACCATGGGCATATTAGTATTTTACCTCACTTTCCTTCCTCTCTCTCAACTTCGTGTCCATCACTTGCGTAAGACCAGGCAATTACATTTCATCTTCTACTTTCAGCACTTCTTCCATTTTTCTCTAGATTTTTCATAATCTTTTCCATAAATAACTATCAATTTTTTCTTTGTCTGCAATGGCAAATAGAGACATACAACACCTTCAAGCCACGATGGACAATCTGGAATTGGGGGAGGAGGAAATTGGCATCTCCTTTGAAGCCGATAGCGGAATTCATACGAATCTAGGCGATGACCAAACATGGAACATCGTTGGAAGACTCCTCACAGACAAGCCGATCAAATTTGATATCTTCAAGAATGTGATTGCTTCGGTCTGGAAGCCAGCAATGGGTGTTCAAATTACGCAAGGCGAGGAGGGAATCCTGTGGTTTCGTTTCTTTCACCCAAAAGATGCGGAAAGGATTCTTGATGATGGCCCATGGTCTTATGATAATGCAATGCTACTGTGCGTTAAAGCGACTGTTGGGGACAACATCAGACCTGCAGATCTTAATTTCCTGGATATCTGGGTGCAAGTCTATGGACTCCCATTCGGATACACGTCCAAGGGGGTTCTGGAGGCAGTCGGGAACTTTTTAGGCCGCTTCATTATGGTGGATGACAGGAACTTAACGAAGCCCTATCAATCATTCATGCGTGTTCGCGTTTCGATCGATGTGCGGCGCCCCCTAAAGAGACGGATGAAATTGACAAAGCGTGATGGATCAACTACCTGGGTTACTTTCAAATATGAAAGGCTTGGGACCTTTTGTTATTTTTGTGGGATCCTGGGCCATCTTGGGAAGCACTGTGCAAGTGGAGTACAATCGGGAATGAATCCAGAAACGTGGCCATATGATGACAATATCAGGGCAGGAGGAAAGAAGAAACTTGCTGGGAGAGGAGCACCGTGGCTCAGGGATATGGCGGACGGAGACATTACAGGACGTTCCTCCATCTCGGCTAAAGCTGACAAGTCTAGTTTGGAGGGAGGCATGGAGGGTTTAATTACAAAAAGGAAGAGAAGAAACAATGATGAGATGATCGTTGATATGAACATCACGGCTCATGATGCTGGACTTAATGATACGGCGGGTCCCGGTTCCCGGGCCTGCCGGGGCCAATGAGCGTCTTAAGTTGGAACTACCGCGGGCTGGGCAACCGGCGGACAGTTCAAGAACTCGTAGAGCTAGTCTCTACTAACAGGCCCCACTTTGTTTTCCTCTCTGAGACAAAGTGTGTTCGCTCTAAAATTGATAGTGTTAAACAAAAACTTGGATTCGATTGTCTGTTTGCGGTGGATAGTGTTGGAAGAAGTGGCGGACTCGCACTTTTCTGGAGCAACCGGTGGTGTGTGAATTTGATCTCGTACTCCAGAAATCATGTGGACGTGGTAGTCTCTATTGACGATGGGATCAAATGGCGCCTCACGGGTTTCTACGGACACCCTAGAAGAGAACAGAGGGAAGAAGCATGGAATCTTCTCAAATCGCTTAAGGCCAAGGCAGATTTACCTTGGTTAGTGATTGGGGATTTCAATGATATCTGTGCTGCGCATGAAAAAAAGGGGGGCAATCCAAGACTCCCGAATTTAATTGAGGGTTTTAATAATGCATTGTTCTTCTGTGGTTTAGCAGATGTGACCATGGAGGGATACCCGTATACGTGGGAGTGGAAGAAGGGCACTCCGGACTGGGTAGGCGAAAGGCTTGATAGGGCAGTGGTCTCCCCATGCTGGAGGGATATGTTTCCACGCAGCAGGCTTGTTAACAAACTTTCACGTTGGTCAGACCATTCGGTATTAATCTTGCTTCTTCATGGAAGGGAAAACGTTGGTACACGACATAGATTTAAATTTGAGAACGCTTGGTTACTGGAGGAATCTTTCAAACCATTTCTTAAAGGTTGCTGGTCCGCTTCCAGTGGCAGAGCTTTCTCGGACAGGATTCATCTTTGTGGAGAGAAACTTGAAGGTTGGGGCAAAAGCAAAAATGGAGACACAACCGAAAAAATTAGCCACTTGAGGGGCATTCTGGAGAGACTCCGCGGAGTTCGTAGCCCGGCAGCCATGACGGAAAGAATTAACATCACAAAGGAGATTGATTCCCTGATGGACAAGAATGATTGCTACTGGAGGCAACGAGCAAAACAACACTGGCTTAGTAAGGGAGATCGAAATACTCGCTTTTTCCATAATTATGCTTCGCACCGAAGGAGGAAAAACTATATTTGCAAGCTCAGGGACTCCAATGGCAACTGGCACGAAGGAAGCAATCTCACCAAGCTTGTGTTTGATTTTTACTCGGATCTCTTTGTTTGTGCTGGACCACGAGATGGGAGAAGGCTGAGTATGGATCTCTTTTCAGGCTTAGGTCACTCAAAGGTGTCCAGAGAACAAAATGAAAAACTGTTAGCACCATTCACTGAAGTGGAAGTGAAAAATGCTTTGTTCGCCATGCACCCAGATAAGGCGCCTGGCCCGGATGGAATGAATCCAGCGTTCTTTCAGAAATGTTGGGATGTGGTGGGTACTGACACAACAACTTTTTTCTTAGACTGTCTTCAGAGGGGCTGTATTCCCCAAGGTCTCGGGGACGCAACATTGGTTTTAATCCCTAAGAAGAACAAGCCCGTCTCTGTTGGAGATCTTAGACCAATAGCACTCTGCAATGTGGTTTACAAGATTATTGCCAAAATGGTCGCTAACAGAATGAAACCCCTTCTACAACAATTGATTTCAGAGAACCAGTCAGCTTTCCTTCCGGGGAGACTTATCTCCGACAACATCTTACTGGCAGCGGAAGCAGGGCACTATTTGCGTCGAAAAAATGGTGGGACTAATGGTTGGGTAGGACTAAAATTGGATATGGCGAAGGCTTATGATAGAGTGAAGTGGAACTTTTTGGAGAGTATGCTTTGTTGGCTGGGGTTTGACGATGGATGGATACACCTTGTTATGATGTGCGTGACTTCAGTCAGGTACAGAGCTCTGGTTAATGGCTCACTCACAGATGTTTTAAGCCCTTCGCAGGGCTTGAGACAAGGCGATCCACTGAGCCCCTACCTTTTTATTATATGTGCGGAGGGTCTATCCCTTCTTTTGAGGAAAGCTGAAGAACAGAAACTCTTACACGGCATCCGTGTAGCAAGAGGAGCTCCGACCATCTCTCATCTGTTTTTTGCCGATGATAGCTTACTTCTTTTTAAAGCTACGATGGGAGAGGCTCAAGCTGTTCGGCAATGCCTTGATGATTATGAGCAACTGTCTGGCCAAATGGTAAATTATCATAAGTCTACAATTTGTTTTAGTGCCAACACTCCCACTGCTGTTCAAGATTCTTTGTCAAATCTTTTTGGTGTTGAGAAAGCTTTCGACTTTGGAAAATATTTGGGCCTACCTTCTTTAATTGGGAGATACAAGTCTGCGACTTTTAATTTTATCATTGACAAGATTAGGAGCCGAGTTGGAGGATGGGGCAAACGGTTTCTTTCAAAAGCGGGGAAGGAAATTTTACTTAAAACTGTCGCCCAGGCATTACCTCAATATGCAATGAGTGTTTTTCTTCTCCCCATTGGACTTTGCCACAGAATAGAAGGAATTATGAATCACTTCTAGTGGAGCAACAAAGGCTCAGACCCATCTGGAATTCACTGGCTTTCATGGCAGCGTATGTCAACGCCAAAAAAATTTGGTGGCCTAGGCTTCAGGAGGATTCGGGACTTCAATGTCGCTATGATTGGAAAACAAGGTTGGAGACTGATTGTCAACCCAGATTCCTTGGTGGCGAGAGTCTTTAAGGCGAGGTACTACTCAAAAGGGGACTTCCTGAACGCGGGGCTTGGCTCATCACCGAGTTTTGTGTGGCGGAGCATTTTAGAAGGCCGAAATCTTATCATTAATGGCATAGGTCGACGGATTGGGGACGGACGAGATACTCTAATTTGGGATACTCCTTGGATTTGGGACAAGGCCAACACGTTTATTACGTCTTCAAAACCCCCTTTTTGTCCAAACTTTAGAGTTTCTTATCTAATTGATCCGGAAACTAATGCATGGAAAATGGATGTGGTGCGGGAATTGTTCTCAACCGAAGATGCAATCCGAATTCAACGTACTCCGGTGTCTCTCTCTCGCAAGGACTGTTGGTATTAGAGGGCGGAAGCACATGGAAATTACACAGTGAAGAGTGCTTATAGGAGGCTATGCGGGGAAGCATCGCAGTTTGAGAGTTTCGGCCAGTGGAATCGACTTTGGGGATTGCCCATCATACCAAAGGTAAAAAATTGTGTGTGGAGGTGCTTAAGGGGTGTCTTACCTACGGCTATAGCTCTTAGAGCCAAGGGGGTTGATATTGAGCCTAACTGCCGCATCTGTGGGGCACCGGAAGAATCAGTGGAGCATGTTTTCCTTTCCTGTCCTTTTGCTCAGGCTACTTGGAGACTCCTACACAGAGAGATCGCCACAGGTATGCACGAGAACTTTAATAATTGCTTGGCGGCTGTTTTTGGATCGGCGTCGGCTGTCGGTGGGGCAGTGATGGCTGCGGGTATTTGGGCTATCTGGAAAGCTCGAAATCAGGCCTGCTGGGAAATCAAGGTGGTCAGACCGGAGGTAGCTGCTGATTGGGCACGAGAAGTATGCGTTGCTAGGACAAGTCGTGACTTACAGGGTGGCACGATGGCGACGTCGGAAGGGTCGGGGCTTCAGCAGTTGAACCGGCCGGATCTCCTGCGATGCTTTGTTGATGCGGCCATGTTTGAACAGGATGGTTTTACATCAGTGGCGGCAGCCCTTCTTGATGGGGCAGGCACGTTCATCGGGGGCTTCAACAAGCTTGTCACCTGTCCCTTAGTACCGAGGTATGTTGAAACTTTAGCTATTAAGGAAGCTCTATCTTGGCTCAAGGAGAAGAATGTCCATGATGTCGCTGTTTTCTCTGACTGTGTTCAAGCGGTCCATGCTCTAAAGAATGACGTGATAGAAGCTCGGTCGTATCTGAACGCGGTGGAGGATGATTGCAAAAAACTCGCTTATTTCTTTGACTATGTTAATTTTTTTCACATTCCTAGACAATCGAATTTGATTGCACACACCCTTGCTAGATTGGCTGTTAATGGGTGCTATGAATGGCATTCAATTCCCCCGAATGATGTATTGCATTTACTTTGATGAATGAAAGTGTTTGAGTTTCAAAAAAAAAACTATCAATTTTTTTAGTTAAAAACGCCCCAAATTATTTTAGAGGATTTTAAATTCTTCTACCATCAAATATGTGTTTAGCCTTCATTTGATTTCATAATCTGTGCATAATCTTCTGAAAGTCCAAACATTAATTCAAGATTTGCCTCACAAAGTCATTCTTCTCTCTCGATCTGATTCGGGTCTTGTATTCTTTGATCTCAAAAGTTTCCCAAAATCCGTTTCTCAATTTTTTTGGCTGCAGAAGGCGTAATTAAGCTCTTTCTCAATTTTCAATGAACCTGGGACTGACGACAACAAATATTGGACAAGAGTTGATTCTTGACACAACAGCCCTCTCCAATTTTATTGAGGTGAAATCTTTTTTTATTTTGCTTAAACGATTTACATCAATTTATTTGTGTTAATTTTTGCTTTATTTGATTTTGATTCTTGATTCAACTCTGTTAGTGTTCCAAAATTTTATTTTGCTACTGCATTGACATTTTGGTGAATATACGGAGCATCGAGTAGTTCTTCACCCTTTTTATTACTCTGTATGTTGTTTCATTGTTTTCTGGTGGGATCTACTTTATTCATGCGATGCCATTTTAATAGTCCTATAATGCACTTCTTATCATTTTAGTAGTCTAATTTTCCACCTTGATATTGATCGCTGGTATGTGTTAAGAATATGGATTGGTTTTTATTTAGTGTTTCATTGACGCACATTTATTAAATTTTCTTGCTTAGTAGCGGTGTGTGTTTAGAATTGATGATTTCATTTTTTGATGTATTTTATATGGAGTAGTTAGTTTTATTGCTGACTTTTTTCTAATTCACTTCTTCAATTTAAGCACACCAAATGAGTTTTGTGTTTTAACCTTTTGCCCATAGCCATCTGAAAAGGTGATTTTATTTCTACCCCTTGTATTAAACTTGATGATAAATCTGTATAGTGTGTTTTTAAATTTAAATTTTCTTTCTTATAGGCATAGCATCGTGTATTATGCAAAATGCACTATCCACATTTTTTGATGCATTTACATTGAGCACCGATCTGCACCCGCACACATGATTTTCATTTTTTCTCGCAAGAAAATTGTGATTTTTACACCATTTATAGTTACTCTTAATCTATACTCAAATTTTTTACTTAGATTTTAGTTGGCGTATGTATTATTTATATGGATCAATTTTCATTTACTGGTTCATGGATGCACATTCCCCACATATTCTCTGGGTTTCAATTCTAGATCTTCGGTTACTCAGGTGGGTGTTTGAAGTTAATGATTTCATGTTTTATGATATATTAATATTTATTTTAATAGCTGGTTTTATCATTTTGTTATTTTATCTAAATGCATGGTAATGGATTTTGGGTTTAATCTTTTACTCGCAACAACCCAATAAGAAAAAAATTTAATCTCTACCTCTTTTGTATTAACCTTGATGTTTCATATGCATGGTGTGGTTTCAGGTTCTATTTTTTGGCATAACAATTTCTATTACATGTATTGCACCCTCCTCGTTTTATGATGTATTTTTGTTGATCATATCTCCCCATCCACACACACACACACATCTTAAAGAATTCCAAATATACATGTGCTAAGTGCTTTCATATTTTCATTTGTCTTTGCAGGCATAATATCCTGAGTTGACAGTCTTGAAAAGTGCATAACTTTTATGTTAGCGTTGAATTATAAAGGCGATGTTGAGTCATACGTATGGTGAATTTGCAAATTCCAAGATGCTACAAGTTGTTTTCTTATATGCACTATATCTAGCCAAGATCCAAGCATATGCAAATGACACATTTTGTCAAGAGTAATTGAGAAGGTGTATCCCATGGTCAACAAAAGTTCAGCGTTCATACCTAGACCTTGATGTATGAAATTATTATCAAAAGTTTGATAACTTTGAAGAACAATGGTTGGGCTTAATGACGGAATATGAATTTGATCTGCGTGCTTGGTTCTGTGGCTTATTATTTTCATATTGTGTTTACTGTGGTGGAGGAAATTATATTAATTAGAGTATATTTTCAATGATCATACGGATATGGTGCATTTTATCAATGATCATACAGATATGGTGCTTTTATCAATAATGATCATACAGATATGGTGCATCCCGATACAGAAGATAGTGCATCATGAAAATATAAATTAAAGTATCTCAGGGCAGAGTAGATAAACATGCATCATGGACCGCATCATATGCATCACAATACAACTATAAGAGCATCTCTAACCATATCATTTTAACTTGCTAAAAGTTATAATATAACTAGTTAAACACTTTTATTCTTCTCCAAAGGGCATGCTTTATTTTAACAAGTTTGCCAAAAAATGAATTTGGTTTGCTAAATATGACAAGTCCCTCAAATTTTAGCTAGCCAATACTTAAAAAATTAAATAACAAATAATGGTTGGAGAATGAAGCAAAAAAGTGCTTGCTATATCACTATTCACTTGCTATAATGTAAAAATAGTAAATCCATATAAGAAGCATGGTCGGAGATGCTCTAATGCAATTTTTCAAGAGATTATGTAGATAATCCAATAAAATTAAAGTATTGTGCCATTAAAGACATCCATTGATCATCTTTTCAAAAATTAAAATATAGAGTAAATATAAGATTGTCACAACCTAAATTATGCATGATTAGTTGTCCTAGGATGCATGCCAGTTTGGTGACTGGTGTAGTAGTTTTGTAAGTGTTGTTGTACATAATTTCTGAACAAATGTCTCATATTTTATCAAACAATACTGCTATATGATAGATACAGCGTTTAGCAAGCCCTCCATGTGAACCATCATGCTATCTCATATTCTCCTTCATTATTGTTTTGCTTCATTGGACTCTTTATATAAACAATCATCAATTTTTATATAATAATTATGATCTCAATCATTATTGATCTCCTTCATTATTGTTTTATGTCATCACACATTTCAAACCACACATAATGTTAAATTTGAGAACCTTGATACATTACTTTCTCTAAAGATAGCATAATAATATCTATAAGAGAGCACTGTACTAATTTATAATGCAACACTAATTTAATTATTTTTATAATGCATCATATAGCGCCCCTTCTAGACATTAATAAATTTTATATTATAACAATCACAATGCATATTAATTACCCTAATTTGCAAGACAGATCTCCTCCAAATGGATAATGCTATTTGTACCCTAAAAATTTGTACCTCATTTTGTACACTATAGAGATGCACCATTATTTTGTGTTGGTGTAATACTAATTTTTCTTAACACACCAATACTTTGTGTCAGAATAAATTTTTATTAATGCACCATCACTCTGTGTCAGTGTAAACTATCAAAATATTGATGCATACCTTTGGTGTATAAATGGAGTACAAATTTTAGGATACATGTAGCATGCTCCCCTTAATGCAACCTGAATAAATTAAAGCCTAAGCTTTGTGGGGAGATGGGATCTTAATGCAACCTGAATTTGTTATAATGCATCACATAGTGTCTCTTCTAGACATGGATACATTTTATATTATAAAAATCACAAATTTGTAATGCATTTTAAACACCTTAATCTGCACGACATATCTCCTCCAAATTAAAACCTAAATGTTGTCTAGACATGGTAAGCACGACTGATCTTTTCTAAAATAAAACCTAATTTTAGTTTGGACATGGCAAATATGGTGCATTTAATCTTTACATGAACAATTTTGTCTCTTAGAAAAGAAAAATCCCAAAAAAAATTCTCATAACCCTTTAAATCAATATGGCTCTAGAATATCAGAATTATAGCATAATGATGAAACCCTAATTCAAAATTAAACGAATTTAACAACTAAAAATTTTCAAAAAAAGCATGTTCTAAATCTTCCGTAAAAATTGAAGAAACTCAAAGTTATTTCAGATCAAGACGAGAATGAATAGCAAAATAAATTAAATTAAAACAATATATTGGAAAAAGATGCATCTAAACCACCACTATGTAATCTCATCTCCTCTGAACATAAGATCCGGCAATGCATAAATCCATATGAATAATTTTGCATTTTTGTTCAAACACATTTAATTATTAGTATGTTCTTTGTAATTACTACAACTATTACAAAGTTGAAATTATTCTAGGAAAAAAAAGAGTGAATTTAGCAATTCCAAGAGCGGCTTTCGAAATGGGTGCAGTGTGCGCACAAAATGGATATATCCTCAAAGAATGAAATGATCCCACAAGTCTGCAACAATGAATATGTTTCATCTATCTGAGAAGTGATCTTGTCAGATGTTCTCGCGCCGTCGCCAATGCTTGAGATATTGTCTGGAAAAATTTTAGAATTATAAACGTTACATATGCCAGAAAAATATGTACCGAGTAGAACTAAAGACAGGGTTATCCCAAACAACAAGAGTACAACAAGAACAACAAACCCCATGTAATATCAATAATGATATCTTGGGAGGGTTACACAGAATAAATACCGAGTAATGAATAACTATTTATTTTCAAGGTAAGGAATAAAACCTACACTAGCAAACCCAAAATAATCCCAACACCGCTGCAATACTGACAGGTTAGTCCAAAACATGTTATTCATTCGAGCTAATAGAATGGAATCTTGCATTAGTGTCAAACAGCGTGGTTATTATCTGCATTTAGCCGTGATTAGTCCTTGCCTAGCCTTAATAAAAATATCTGAATTTAGCCAACCCTAGACCACTCTCCATGGGTTTTTCCTGCTTAGGCCTTACCTAATTCCCACTTGTACCACAAATTAACCCCAATTGGGTGCTAGCTAGACTTGAGTATTAATTAACATTGTTTTTAACAAAGCATGATTGGTTTGCAGTTTTGCACAATAAACAAGTTAAATGTGTAGCTAGTTACCTGTTCAGAAAGGGATGTCCCATCATCCATATTGTGACTAGCAACTTTTAAAGCAATTACATTACCATCAGTCTCAAGAACCATCCTGCCAACCCAACAGGTTATAAGGTGAAAACCAAAATAAGGTAAGATAAAGATGAGTTATATCTATCCAAGGAGGTTTTTGGGGTGGGTTGGTGGGGAATTGGGCAATTTATGAAACCCATGCTTTATATGTGGAACAAATGGCAGCTCACCCTCCATCAACAATCTCATCAAGGCACAAAAGAATCAGATCTAAGTTCTCAAGTGCCTCCCTGTGTTCAACATTGTTCCTGAAACAAACAATGCCACACACCCAATCAGTCATTCAGTCATCACCAAATATATTTCTGCAGTTACTAGTCAAATACTACGGGTGAAGAATAATACCTAAGAAGAACAGTAACTGCATCAAAGAACCCTTGGAGAACACTTGCTAAAATCAGCTCATTTTCATCAACCGCTCCAGTCACAAAGAAATGGAGATCTTGAACAAACTTGTAGATGATAATGTTGTTATCAAGCAGCGTTATATCCGCTTGCAGATTAAAGAAACAATTAGTTCATTGAACACATTATGTATGCAGTAGTTAGCATCCTAAAAAAATACTGCTCCATAGTAAAATTCCCGGCCTAGGTCTCACCTAGACGGTAGACCTTCTTCCCACCCTACGATTTATTCTCACCTAAGACTGCCTAGGCCTCAATTAGTCCTGCCTGGGGCAGCGCCTACATCTAGCCATCTAGGGATAACGACGAGGAACAATGTGGTGCCCTTAAGGGCATTGGGTAAGTCCGCAACTGCACAGGGCCCCCAAAATTTTGTGGCCTCGAGAGAAGGTGGAATTCGCTATTATGCAACCTATTTTTAGATAATATTTATATGTTTTTCCTTTAAATGATCAATTTTTTTGAATTTGTGACTATTTGTATCATCTCAAAAAAAAAAAGTGCATTAGTTCCAAAAATTGAAATATTAATCTTGTAAGGTGAACATCATAACAAACTAATATAAGTGCGCTAAACAAAATCCTTCTAACAGCTTCGAAGTAAACAATGTACTCCGTATTACTACGGGAATATAAACTATTGAGGTCTAAGTCTAATTTTAATTTTTGCACTGGCTTTTCAATAATTTTGACCTGTACCACCTACTAGGACACATACCTTCAGTGCGAGCATTGGTCTTTTGAGTTTTTGTAAAGACGGACTTCTCAAACGCAAGCTTAGCACTGTTTGTAGGCCATTCATCACAGTAGTACTTAACAGCAACGCGCTTTCCTTCCGAATCCAGAAGAAGTATGTTCTTTATGACAGGGCAGGAGTCCTGCAACAGAAAAATCACGATCGATCACCATTTCCTCTCGATGCACGTACAGTCCGAACGGATGAAAAAATCGAAGATTCGATCCGAGTTTTCGCGGTATGATCCCCAATCGCAAGAAAAAATTCAAACGGACTGGAATTAAACGAAATGAGAAGCTAAGATCTCTATAGATTGAATGAGAATAAGAGGCTTACGTGATCGAGAGCGAAAGGAGCCATTCGATTCTTCTTCTCCGTTCTCGCTGATGAAACCGCCGGCCCGCAGATGCAGATAAATTTAGCAGCTGAGTTGACGACGGGTACGGAGGGCCATGGGCCGGTGGTATAGTCCTCCGCATTTAAGGCCTTAGAAAGAACAATTAACTCCGTAACCATAAGCCTCAATTAGGAGTCTAGGACTAACCTCATGGAGTGCAGAGTGAAATTAAAAAAAAATCTATAAATAAAGTAGAAAACATGAAATTTATATCAAAATATTTTAATCTTTTAAATGGGATATTTCATGATATATTTTGATAATATCATTTTATTTAAGTATTTCCTCCATTCTAATTTATATTATCTGTTCTAGTTTACGATGGTTGACCGAAATCATTTTTAAATAAATTTATTTAAACATTAATGTGAAATTAAAAAATTAAAAATTATATATTTAAAAACTATATCAAAATATTTTTGAAACAATACATTACATGACTATTTTATATTTCAAATAAATAGTAAAAATAATTAAAGATAGTGAATCAAATTTGATCATGTAAATAGTAAACAAATATTATAGTTTAGGACAGAGGAATTATAAAAATATTAAACATTATATTTTGGCATGTGAGTCATACTTTATTATTAGTTGGATATTTCTCCCTAAAATTTTTCATAAAAACAAATATTATAGTTTGGGACAACGAAAGTGAGTGACGCGTTTAGTTTTAATTTTTGTGTAATTTATGCATTTTCCTTATTTTTTTGACTTCAAATAGGAGTTCTCGCACGTGTGTAAATTTTTGCCTACTACTACTTTTTACTTAAACATCATAGACATGTGGGATACATCCATGTGAAAGAATATGGCGCTTTAGTAAGCGTTCCGCACCACTTATTTCACCTATTTTGACTTCGATAAAATGAGTGATGCGTTTAGTTTTGATTTTTTTCTAACTTACCCATTTTTCTTATTTTTGACTTGAAATAGGAGTTCTCTCACATGTGTATATTTTTGTCTACTACTTTTTACTCAAACACCAGACATGTGGGTAGACATGTGGGACTGAACCATGTGAATAACATATGGTGTTTAAGTAAGCGTTGCGCACCACTTATTTCTCCTACTTTGACTTTGATAAGAGTGAGCGACGCATAGTTTTAATTTTTGTCTAATTTACCTATTATCCTTATTTTTGACACCTCAGAATAGCAATCCTTCCACATGTGTAATTTTTTGCCTATTTTACACATTTTAACCGCTACGACACTCACACTTTTAGTTTCGTCGCCACCACCCCAGCCACAGCCACTACCAGACTCCCAACTCTGCAACCACCACACTACCATCATCCACATCACCACCACCACATCCATATGCCACAGCCAACTATGACATGACACACCCATTGTCATCATAACACTGCCAATTCCGTTGTCACAGTGACATCACCTCCACTACAGTGGAAACACTTCCACCTAAGATATAAGCAAATCAAATACTTTAAATTCGATTCGTGATTCGTATTTGAATATAATGATTCGAATTCGTATAATTCAAATAAAATTCAAATTCAAATATTAGTTTTGATTCGAATGTTAAACAAATACAAATACATATATAGGCGTATTCGATTCGGATGATATCCGAATATCCGAATTTATATACACACAGACCATGTTTTCAAATTCAGAAGTCAAGCACTAATATTGTATAAGGTGTATTTAAATTACTAAGATTTCGTCAAATTAACATAACACAAAAAGCTAAAGAATATGTTTTTTAATATCTATATTTTGCTCTGTATAAAATATTATTTATGTAAGACACAAATGTATTAATGGTTTTAGATATCGTATAAGAAACATTGTAAGTCAAATTATTCAAAATCGATATCCATCCATCATATAAATTACGGAGTTCGATTATTCGAATGTTCATTTAGGATTTGTTAACTATTTGAATATTAATAAAAAAAAGCTTATTTTTAGTTTCTTTCATATTCGGATTCGTATTTGAAAAATTAAACAAATACAAACTCAAATATCCTCTTAGTATTTGTTTTGATTCGATTCGTTTACAACCATACTGCCACCACCACTGCCACCACTTCCGCACTGCCACCTCTTTCCAACATTGCCACCACCGTTGCCACTGCCGCACTATCTACTTCGCCACCACATTTCCATATTGACATCATCTCCACCACATGCCACCACCGCCACATTACCACCCTCTTTGTGACATTACCACCTTCACCGTCACTGTCGCCGTGACACTGCAAATTTTGCAAACACACTATCACTGCCGCCACCACATTGTCACCCTCTTTTGTGCACTACTACCACTTCACCACTGCCATAGACACACTATCACATACGATACCAAATTCATTCTAGGTATTTAAGCCTTTTCCCTAACTCGATTTTCCGAAACCATATTTGCACTGATAACATTATTTTATAACTCTTCAACGATTAATCTTGTATCATTACACAATCTAGATGTTTGGTCAATATTCCTTACTAACAGAATCAGTACCCCTTTTTTCAAAACTATTTTGATGTTTGGGATTCCCAAACATTTGATTTCATTTAAAAACTAAATGGTTATCAATCATCATGAAGAATCTACATCTGATTGGCATGAAGAATAAGAACTCAAACATTCTTTTTCATCATCAGGAATGAAAGACATGACAAATTCATTTATCATTTCAACTACTTCAAAGTTAGTCCTAATAATGTCATATCCTCAAAAAAGAATAAGTATTCATATTCTCTAAATATTTTACTAATATATTTTAAGAAATTTCAGTGGTCAAACATATTATTTGGAAAACAAATCGAAGTGTTAGAAACAATAGAGTTACTAATTCTTAAGATTAACCGCATGAAATAAATAAAAAAACTACTCCCTCTGTCCCAGAAAACTCTTTTTGTTTTGACTTTTTTGATCAAATAGTGATACTCTTTGACCATAAATTTATCATAATCTAAATAAATACATGTTATAAAATTTTGATATGTCAAAATTTTATTGTAAGATTATATTAAATTTATATTATAATTAAATATACTATTGTCACAATTTGCAGTCAAAGAATTTCACTATTTGATCAAAAAATCACAATAGGAAGAGTTTTCAGGGCAGATGAAGTATTAATTTGGTCACTATATATATTCAAGCAATAAACAACAAATTAAAATAATGCCAAATCACTATTCCGCATATTGATTAAAATTACAACTCATTAAAATAATAAATAGGTGACAGATGACTTGTTAAAAATGCCAATAAAACCCGTCACATGCCAAAATTCTGTGAGCTGAGTCTCAAATATTATAGTAAAAGTGATATGGATAGTTAATTAGAATATTTTAATTAGTTATATTATTATTTAATAGTTATTTATTATTATTATTTATTAATATTCTATGGATTAGGGTTTTTTGTATGGGCCTGAGCCCATTAGGTCATGTAGGGGAACGTCTCATCGTTATATATTGTAATCCCGTATCATTATCATTCAATCAATCAATAATAAAAAATTCTCTTAATCTCTCGTCTCTCTTTTCTTGGAGCTCGAAAACGCTCAAAGTTTTCCATCTTTCTCTACCTCATATTCTTGGAGCTTGAAGAACGCTCGAAGTTCTTCTCTATCCGATACGATATTCGTATCAATTGGTGCTTTCATTGATTTGAACTCCTAAAAACAAATTTAAAAAAAAAATAGTTGCCCCTGGTTGCCGATGTCTCAAGAATTGATCAGAGAGAGTTGATGCGGTTCGGAGGTTATCACCACAACGAATACAGCTGCCTACCCAAGTCAAGATGTGTTTTCAATGGCTACCTAAACCAATTTGCCTTCGTCCATCAATTTGAGGAAGCAGGACCTCCACAAATTAAAGGGCTAATTCCACCCCACTTTTGCCAGATCGGTACTTGCCCCTTGAATTCTTATTTGTCACAACCTAAGCTACTGCAATATTGATTTAATTTGCCAAAGGTTGTGATTGGGAGCCGGCTACGAGTACCGCATCACTGCCGCCTAATTTTTTGCCGATTGGGTTTGCCGCCAGCAACATAAGAGATCGATAGATTTGCCGTCGACGTCATATACTTGGTCGCCAGCATGAAAAGAATTTTCCGGTGCTGAAGACTGCTCTTGTTTGCTGTCGTAGTAGACCGCTCATCTGCCGTCCGGAATCCCCGAATCTCCCAAGCTGAGAGCCATCCAGATCGTGCAACAATTCACAAGATGGATGCTTTTACTCAATCGTTGAATCAAATGCAACAAGATTTTTCATTCCGAATGGAGGCACGATTCGCTCGGTTAGAGACTTTAATTGTGAGTACTTGTGCATTGGATAAACTTATTGATTTGTTGGAAAATGTTTTATATGGAGAAATTGATCTAGACGACGGAGTGTGTGGAGTTTATGATCATGTGGATGAACTTATAAAGACGCTCCGGTCGTTTCGTCAAACTACTGGTCAGCCAAATTATGACGCCGACTTGTACGCATTTGATGTCGAAATCTCTTGCTCCATACAAGATTTGGTTCGTGGTCTCTCAATTTTTCCGAGTTTGATTCCATGGGAGTTACAAAACTTTAGAACAAACATGTTGGGCGCTATAAAAGTTCTCATTGACACTCCACCATATGTGCCAAATGTGGCCTCTACAGTAATTGAACAAAACGTTGAAGCAATAAACAAATATGACGGGAGGTCCCACGTTGTGGACAAAAATGAAGGCCCACTTGCAGCATATGTTGCTAATGTCGACAAGCCAGATCCTACTTTTCAGAAATTTTCTACCTCAGCTGGTGTGGTCATTGCAGAATATGATATTCCAAAAAGTGTTGACAAAGTGACCGATGCAGATGGTAAACAAGCACACTCACCTATGTTGATTGATACCATCAAGTTGTTTGAGCTTGTCGATGTGGTCAAGATGGAGCACCTGATTCCACCAAGAGCAACTACATATGTTCTGCGCCCCGTCTCATCTTTCCATCACTTTGCTCCAAGATCCACGATGGTTGAATATTCAAAGAGTGGATTGTTCCTCTGGTTCAACATTCTTTCTCCGTTCCTAAAGCACGAGTGGGAGCCTCCACCTTGAGGACAAGGTGGATTTTAAGGGGGTGGGAATGATATGGATAGTTAATTAGAATATTTTAATTAGTTATATTATTATTTAATAGTTATTTATTATTATTATTTATTAATATTCTATGGATTAGGGTTTTTTGTTAGGGCCTGAGCCCATTAGGTCATGTAGGGGAACGTCTCATCGTTATATATTGTAATCCCGTATCATTATCATTCAATCAATCAATAATCAAAAATTCTCTTAATCTCTCGTCTCTCTTTTCTTGGAGCTCGAAAACGCTCAAATTTCCATCTTTCTCTACCTCATATTCTTGGAGCTTGAAGAACGCTCGAAGTTCTTCCCTATCCGATACGATATTCGTATCAAAAAGATAAAGGATTTTCGCTTTCTTTTTTCCTCTTTCTTCTTCTGGTGCACTCCGTAATAATATTCTTTATATTTTACTCAGTTATTACATGTCACTGATATGTTAAAATTTCGCCACATAGACACATCAAATGTCGAATTCATGTGAATCAAGGTCTCCTTTATTATAGTAAAGGATGTAAATAAACAATGGGACTCCTATTTTGGTTATTTGTATTCTTTCTACTCTTATAATGCACAAGGAATTCTTTGATAAGATTAAACACATACTACATTGATGGTCTAGGAGCTACAAAAAAATAAGAGAGTGTCACATAATATTCTCTCCCTTCCAATTTAATGGTGTACTTTTTTTAAATTTTGTTCATCTAGATGTAATCGTCTAGTTATGTTTGGGCTGCGTTCCGTTCGCCTGGTTTAATCAAATCTAATTTGATTTTTTTGAAGATATGGTCAAATCTGAAATAATTGAATCTGATTCATTTGATAAGATCTGATTTGGTCTAATTTTATATTATGTGATTGTGATTATATTTAAAGTTATTTTTGATGTGATATGATCTTATTTGGTATGATTGGATCTAATGTGATTAGAGCTTGTCTGATTAGTTCTGATATAATTTTAATGAGAATAAGTAACAAGCGAAAAAATTAAGTTGAATGAAACGGATCTTTAATACTCCTTCCATTCCGTTTCACCTTTAAATTGGACAAATATTAAGGAAAGCGAATTTAGATTGTTGAAAGTGATGTGAATGAGAGAAATTGTAAGGGCCACAATTTCTTTTCCAAAAATGGAGTGAGTCTTTTTTTGAATAGATCAAAAATCAAATGAACGTTTAACTTTTTTATGAAATGAAAGAATAAAAATATCGGTGGGGTTCTAGTGACACCAGAGTACGGTGACACTCCGGTGCCACTGTCATTTTGGAGCACTTTCGGTGCTCCCTTCATAAAATTGACGGTTCCTACCCCTTAACTCACCCCCTAAACCCCCACCCTACCCCCACCCTTTGCACTTTCGGTGGGGTTTAGGGGTGGGTTAGAGGGGTAGGAACCGTCAATTTTACGAAGGGAGCACTGGAAGTGCTCTAAAATGACAGTGGCACCTCTAGTGTCACTAAAAGTGGGTGTCACTAGAACCCCACCCAAAAAATATTACTACCTCCGTCCCACTGTTTTTGTCTACTTTCATTTTTACACATCATCCAATACACTTCTTTAATCCATTTTATCTTTTAATTTTTATATTAAAAAATTATAGAAATTATATATTAATAATCTATATGTTAAGATCACACATGACTATACCATCCGAATACCAGGTGCTGTCCCATGGCTGGAGGATGTTGGTGACCAGGAAGTTCCGCAAGTCTGTAGTGTTTCTTAGTGGTATTTGAGAGGTTTTCATTCATTATGTATTTGTGTGTTCCTTGAAGAATTGCAGTGGTTATTTGAAGTACTTATTTGCAGAATTGCAGTGCTTATTAGATTATTTGATTTTGCCGTCCTTGTTTAAAAAAATTTTGCAGTACTTGAATTCTGTAGTGCTTATTTTATTTGTACTTGATTCAATATGGATGAACAATAAAGTTGAACAAACATGAAATCCATCTAAATCAATAAACAAATCTCCTCAAGTATATAAAATTCCATGTAAATCAATAAAAGAGTCTTCCAAACTCTGCATGGAGTCAATGGATTTTCTAAATCCACCGATTTCTTAAAGTCCAAAAAAATCTTACAGACTTCTAATTGAATACACCCCTTTACACATTGAGAGAATTTGATGAGTCAAAGTGCTTAGATGAACAGTTCCAAAAGTCAAAACTGGACGAATACTCCAGGACGGAGAGAGTATGATAAATTATTTAAAACATTCTAAAGGTAGAGTATAAACATGATTGAGATATACTTGGAGTATGCATGAATAAAAGTGATACAACTCATTTGTAATCACTTTGAAACTCATATGAGTATTTTAAAAACATTTTTTTATAAAGTGGCTAATTATACGTCTATACATCTGGGATAATATATTTGACAGAGGGAATATAATCATCATCATCCTTATTGTTATTATTTTTATTGCATGTGCAAACTTCAAAATTCTTCTTAAAATTATAGTACAGTACTTAACAAATTAAAATAGAAGAAAAAAGTATACTATCTCGGTTACACTATGAAACTTTTCTACTTTCAAAAAGGGTGGGATTTAAACAATGTGTAAGTTTAGTACTCCCTCCGTCCCCAATTTAATTACAAATTGCGGGTTACGGAGTAAAATTTAATTTCCTACCTTTTGAAATCATTTTATTTACAAATTTATTTGTATATCAAGAAAATATAAAAATTACATATTAAAAAACTACGTGAAAAGTTCTACAAAACAAGAGGTGACAAGAATATTTTATTTTATCAAATACCTAATGAAATCGCGTAAACAAACAAAAGTTATCGAGAGGAGAGAAAAAAAATTGTACTCCGTAATCTATTTAGGGACGGAGGGAGTATTATTTTCCAATTTTGTTCATACTTTATAGTAGCGAAGGATATGATATGATGTGTAAATTAGTAATGATTAGATATAATATGGTATGTGGATTTTTTAGAGTAAATTTCAGAATTGATCCTCTTTAATAATAAGGTATTCTTAAATTAGTCCTCAATAATTATTAATCACCTACGTGGTCTATAATTGAAATTTATTCCCTAGGTAGTCCTTCATAAATGATGTTGCTCAAATGATGATTAATTGGGATAGTATTTTGGTATTTTTACCAACTAAATTTAGAATAAGTTCTTAAAATAATCATTTCTAATGAGCGGTGTTCCCTCTGACCCTCTCTCAGTTCACCTCCGGAGGAGGGGAACAAGAAGTTAAGTATTACTCCGTATTACAAAGGTTCATTTTGAGAATCTTCTCATTTTTTAAATGAGATAGGATTACAATATGTCGACTTCCAATATGATAATTATATTGTAAAGCCATAACACACACACACACCCATATATAGCAAAAGAAAGATGCATATATATATATATATAGAAGATGGACTCATCCAAATCCAATGCATGCATGTATATGCATCTTGATCGAGTTGGATTCTTGAACTAATTACTAATATAATAATATGTATCCAAATAATTAATTAAGGGGTGTAGAGGGTGGGCCCACACTTGCATTTCCAGCCTTCAGGTTCATAGTTAGTGTACAGAACAGTAGTGCCCACACCTCCTCCTGCTAAATGGGCGGTGGTGGTTGGGACTTGTATGGCTTCACAAGGCTTGCACCCACTGCATTTGTGCTCACATCTTGGTGCAAATGACCCTATTCTCCTCAACTCCTCCAACTTCTTCTCCCCTTCCTACCTTCCCAAAACCATATTTAAAACAAATTAATTAAAAAAAAATCATCATTCTTTAATCATTATCATCATTAGTGTATGTATATATGTATGTATGTACCTGAGGAAGAGTGGTGGCATTGGTGGGAGCAAAGGGTCTGCTGGCTGCTGCATTAGGGAAGGCTAAGGTGAGGAGGAGAAATGGAATAATTATAATAATAATGCAGTAAAACCTGCCAACTTTCATTATTCTTCTTTTTTTTTTCTTCTGAGGATTTGAAAGAGAAAAAAAACTTGGAAGTGAGCTCTGCTGAGGAGGGAAGATGAGGAGAGTGAGTGAGAGTTAGAGGATAGCTAGAGATTGTTTGGGTTTTGGGAGGGGGGTTATTTATAGATGGAAAACTGGTTGGTAAATTTGGGTTTTAGCTAGCTAAACCTTGGTTCTTCATACTGCCTCTAAAAATCACTCAATTAAATGATCAATCAAATAAAAGAAATTGTTGTTGTTTGAGATGCTATGTTATAAATTTAGAGATATAATGTCATCGTATGTTCATCAAATCATATATAAATTCATTTTTAAAATTGTTGTTTGAAAAAATTGATAGAAATTGGAAAAAGTTGAAATTTAATTTTTCTACTCTAAAGAATAGAACCTTAAACAGATAGGAAAGTCCAAAAAAAAACAGGCCAGGTCCCATTTCCCAAGCCAGTAAGCTAAAGCCTATGCTTGCGTCCCATCAAATCACTCAGTATTGAGTAGTAGTGTACTATTGTTGTGTATGAAGCTAAGCCAAAGAAAACTGGTTGCTTGCTTCTCCAAGAATTTCCTCTCTGATAATAAAGTGAACCAATTCAAGTCCAGGACAGGCCATCTTTTCTTCTCCAGCAAGTGATTCTATTTCTTCCTAATATCTTCTCAGTAGTATGTACTTCTCACTGAATAACTCTGCAACTTAACTCATTCAATTAGATTTTGTATTGGAAAGAAAATCACAATCTTTTTTTTTAAAATTATGTGATTATGTGAATATTGGAATGATTCTAATCATGTTGGAGATTTATTTGGAATTCCAAATTGAATTTTAAATAAATGGACAAAACTTTTTGAGGAGGCATGTTAACTCTTAATTAAATGACCTAGTTCCTGAATATTCATTTTGAATGGTTATTTTTTTTATACTAGCCAGTCCACCATATTCTTGTGTCACTACAAGAAACCTCGACCTCCGGCTTAGACCTACGGATCTGTACACACCGCTTGCTCCTATTTGTTTGGTCATACTTCAATTAGGTCTGAGATATTTTGAAAGTGTATTGGGAAAATTTATCTATGTAGTACTAAAACATAGTGTTGAATGATTATTTTTTTATATGAGCCAGTCCACCACATTCTTGTGTCACTACAAGAAACCTCGACCTCCGGCTTAGACCTACGGATTAGTACACACTACTTGCTCCTATTTGTTTGGTCATACCTCAATTAGGGTTGAGATATTTTGAAAGTATATTGGGAAAATTTATGTATGTAATACTAAAAATACTGAGTTTTCTAATGTAATATCATATGTTTTAATTTCCCAATGTAGTATCACTATTCAAAATCCATTTGAATTGTTCAAGTAAATGTCCAGCGCCACTGGACATTATTCAAAATAAATATCCACCGTCAATAGACATTGTTCCCGACACTAGAGATTTTTCAAGTACTATTTAAGGGATAAAAATTTTTAGGTACTACACTAGAAAAAGACATATACTCCCTCCATCCCTAAATATTTGTAACATTTACTTTTTCAGCAGTCGCGGGAACTTTTGTTTATTTCTACGTTTTCATTGGTTATTTGATAAAATAAAATATCATTGACACCTCTTATTTCGAAGAACTTTTCATATAGTTTTTTTATTTTTATTTTTTATTTCTATACCAATATATAAATAAAATAAATTGAAAAAACTTGATATTTTACCTCATACAAGTGTGACAAATATTTAAGGACACTAGGAGTATTTTAGTAGTCTTATTATTTATGATGGTGTAAATTACGTGACCGGTCAAACTATACTAGACCGGGTCTAGAATAGTTTGCTTGATTTGGTAGATTAAGAAAGGTAAAAACACGCAGATTGACCGGTAGGACTTTAGGTGGAACACCTGTAGCCCAATTTATATTATCATAGAGAATGCGCGGTCACTTTTACAAGGGAGTTTAGAGAGAATGAATTTGGATCCCTCCTTCTGAGGTTTACATGCGTATTTATACTAGGCTAAAGGGGGGCAAGACCACGTGCATCCACGTGGGATCACGCTGCCACAGGTGGGAGGCGACTGGTCCTGAGCTGCCTTGTCATCTTGCGAGGGGGGTTGCGCCCTTGTCGTGTTCTGGTTTGGAAATGTTCCTTCGGCATCTCCAATGATTCCCCAGCAATGCCAACCACTACAG